TGGTACACAACCTGAGTTCAGGTTGTGCGCCATCTTGGTGCGCATACTTCAGGAGGTCCTTCGTTTATTTTCATGATTGAAACTGCCTGATCACAAATGTACGTGCTTGCAAATTAGAAAATCCAGATTTTTGCATTTCTTAATAAACTGGCTAGTTCTATTATTCAAGGCGAAAGTAAACCTCCAGTAATGAATTTTGTTGTAAAGCATCATGCAAAACGTTCGCGTGACACGTGCGTGCTTGTGGAATGCGACACTGAGCACGCGTGTCCCTTGTTGTGCACACTCCCATTAGGGGAATAACATGATTATTTAACAAACAGAGAAGTAGAGAAAAGTTATACCAACCCACCTCTACAACATTGTGGGGCGTTCTATCCAGTATTCAAATACTTTCAATATTCGTTCAGAAAACGATAATCAAATGAAATAAAATAGTCTACTGTGACAGATTGCATAGCCATACTTAGGGATGTAAAATTTTATTTTCGAATCAGAATCTTCCGAAAGTTAGTATAAAGGGCACATTGAATCGGTGTATAAACTACTCAATATATTACTACTGATGAAATTTATTTTTTGATACAAAGAGGTGCACTCAGTTACATATTCGCTCCATAAATTACGTTTGCAAACAATACGGATGTATACCGTAGTGATCGTTTCTTATAAAATTGACCTTCAATATTCATCCAAATGATAAACTCTAATTAATTGTTGTTACCGAAGAGAAGAGAGAAGAAGCAATGATTACGATATAAGCATCACAGACTGTTTTTAATAAAATATGATGCAATGATGTTTTATTATGATGACATTATATTGAAACTCGAGGAAACGTTTATATAATGCTATATTTGTAAAACTTCCTAACATTTCAAGTAGTCGAACAATATTGAGCGAAACCAACGCTGTAAACATAAGAAAAATGAACGATTTTAGTCATTGCCAAAATAACGCCACTACATCGTGCAATCGTATCGTGTTATTTATATATATATATATATTTGGTACTCCCGAAGTACATGAACCAAGATGGCCGTCACCGGAACGTAATAGGTTTAGGGTTTGGCCATAATTTCAAGTACAAATACTACGGGAGTTACTTGACTAGTCTCCGAACTCGTATCATTTCGAATTCGTAGGCCGTACTACATCCTTCCGCGTCCATATATTTGAGCATCACTCAATTGTGGTATAATGTTGTTGTTCTTGTTGGACACGTATGCATATGTATTGTTTTTGTGTTTGTATATTGCATCTGTTAGTCATTCTATTCTTCTTCCAAAAACTCGCAACTCTTATTAACTACCGGAACCATTGCTTTGAAATTTCATTTCATTTGGTATTGAAACTGGATGCATTAATCATCGGCACAGGAAGTGGAAAAATTTGGGCGGACCGGGTACTGTACCCGGTACCCTGGCGAAGGTGTCTCCGTGTGATTACCGTATTATATATATATATATATATATATATACTAGAGGTGTATCGGGTATCGGCTAATTTTTCGGTTTCGGTAGTGTATCGGTATCGGCTAAATTTAGACCAATATTTCCGATATATTTAGTTTCTCAATATGATTCAGAATGTTTTAAAAAATAGGTTAAACTACTGATCTCAAAATCATTTTTTTTTTGGATAGATCGTGAACTATGAGCCATGCTGATAACCTATATCCAAGACATTGCAAACCTCCGACCTGTGTTCACAATGTGACATATGGTGTTTTACCTGTGAGCCAAGCCATGTCCAAAATTATTGAAAGAATTCAATCTAGCAATAAATGAAGTACGGCTGTAGCTCCGGAATGCTATGCATACAACTACTGGAGACAATGCTGATACAATGTTTTTGACATGGCAATATAATGATCCAAAACGATTTAATACGATTCCTTCTGTTTAAATTTAAAACATAGTTTTCATTTATGATGTCTGTGAATCAGAGGGAAATTTGAGAATTGAATGCTATCCTACTTTGAAGTTCGTTAATCTCTCGAATACAATCGAGTTCGCGTAACTATAATTATCAAAGTTGAAATGCCAACATCATCTTAATTTGGAAATGATACATTACATAAAGCTACGCCTACATAGTATATAAAGTCATAGTATAATGAGGCAGACTATGTAGTCAATTTTATTTTGCTAAATAACGGACAGTGTTCTTAGTGAAATTGCTTTTTTAAGTTATAACATACATGTTTTAGGAATGATTCCCAGACATGCCAATGACGCGTCTTGATAATTCAGGCACAGAAAACCACATGCGTCATTAAGTTAAGGAACTATACTAGTTTAATTATTCAAAGCGGAAACTGGTGACTTGGTGACCAGTTGCAATGAGGGACGTCGAACATCACGTGCAAGCTTGACGCAATTATTAATTTCTCCGTCGAATTGTTAAATAAGCTTTGATACTTGAATAGGTGAATCTTAGTTACCAGCAGAATGTCATTCATATTCTCTAGCCAATGATTTTATTCATAATTTAATCGAATTAAATCTGCATTTCGCCATATTGTTAGCTTTAATTTGGTATGATGTGCAAGAGTATTATCCATCTGATTTAAACAATATCTTTTGTAAACAATATCTCCATAATAGTACAAGTCAGTGCTGAATATTTTCTCTTTACAGCGATAAAATATTTAGAATTTGGTACTCACGTATAGTATGTGAGCCACGATGGCCACACCGGAACGTGGTATGTGTACCAGGTTAGGCCATAATTTTATTCCAATTTTCCTTATTTTAGTTCTATCACGAGTTCGGAGACTAGCCAAGTGACTCCCGTAGTATTTGTACCTGAAATTATGGCCTAACCCCAACCTGGTACACATACTACGTTCCGGTGTCCGCCATCTTGGTACACATACCACGTTCCGGTGTCCGCCATCTTGGTTCACATACTACGGGAGTACCCAGAATTTTTTTCGTGTTTGGTTACGCACAAACAAAGATCTCGTTGTTTCTTCCGTGGAAAATTTAATTGTATATAGAAAAAATTCCCTTTGAAATAGCCTCTACGTCTACGTGGGGAAATTCATGGAGTCCGTTTCAGACATAAATATAACAAGGAAATCAATATATATTTATAATACGGGATAATTCCAGGCGTTTCATGACTAATAATCACTAGATCATTATTGGTTTGTACATATTACCCGAGAAATGGTTTAATTAAGCGCTTTTTGATTTCTAGCAGTAATGCTGCTCTAAATAAAAGAATGTACCAAACTTTGAACTGCTGAGTGTAGGATACTTTTATCGAGTGTAGTTGTTGAGGTTGATAATAAATCATTGAAGTTGGTTGGATTGCATTGCACGTGCATTCGTGATATATTTATGGGTCTAAAGATAGTACATCAGGGAGTATTTTATGCAATTTTATTATCTTCCGTGTTAGTGTAATCACGTTTGGAAGCAATCGAAACCCTGGTACCGTCGCTCTACAAGTATAGTCTCCACTCCAAGAAACTACTTTCGTTTTTGGTTGGCAATAAAAGAAGAGTGATTTTTGGATATTGGCAGTTTGATATATAGGATATAGCACCAGTGGTAGGACTTCAAGTTTTCGGTGAATGCAAGTACGTTTGAATACATTTTAACTAATGGCGTATGCACAACATTTCTTGAGTCTTACACTGAGAATAATCGCATTTTTCTTATGACTCTTGGTTCGGGGAGTTACTTTCTTAATTTGATGATTTCAGGAAATGACAAAAAGACAAAAGAATTTGAATTCAGATTAAATGAATAATTAATTAACCTCGTAAATAACCCGGAAATGCAATATTTTCGATACTTCGTAAAATAAGATCAGTACAACCCGTCGATTACCTGTTCTATGGAATAGGATTCAATTAAAATGCAATTTACCGGCTCTGATATAATTAAGCAAATACTGTAGTAAACTGTAACTATGTAACTCGAAACTATAATAACTAATAATTGAAACTATATTTGGAACCGTTGAAGCTTGCTTTTAAATTTTCCCTAAACTTTAATCTACATCGAAGATAGATTAGTTTAAGTATACATTTGCAATGTATGAGATATTTTTTTGACTTGAAAATCACAGTCGTGCTAACTACATTTTATTACATAATTTTTAATCGTTGTGATTTTCTTATATGTGTCTTATCGTAACATTACGATATAAAATAAGGACAATCGCAGAAGGAGAGCGATTGAATATATATAACATTAGTAGGTAACTACAAATGAAGCTATAAAAGCAATATTCAAATAATCTGTGATTAGTTGAATATGTGACATGATATCGTAGAGATATCAACATTAGGAATATCGCATATATATAAGAACAGGAAATAAAAGTTTGTCAATTGTCATATTGAGCTCTGCTAAGCAATGTGTAATTGAATGGGGTTAAGACCAAGCATAGCTTCGGGCTATTGAATGAAGCGAATATTTCAACTAAAATATTCAGTAACTTCCGAAAAAAGATTCATTTTACAAATCATTATGAGTCAACAATCTAAGCTAGAAAAATTATATTCTCAGTAACTTTAGTACATCGTGCTTAGAGTTTAGTAGCACTACATACAAGTAAACTTCCGGTGTATGCAATACAACAGCACTAAATAATCAAAATGAATATAATTCGACGTGGATGTAAGATCTGTCCGATGCAAACTAGAGTTAATAAAATCGTGCAGTTTAGGGTCTTCGCAACGTGCGTGGTTACACGTGCAGACATGACAAAATTTGGACAGTCAACAACAACCCTATCAGTAGTTCAACAGATGGAAGACGTTTGTGTGATGTTATAGCAAGTGAGGCCGCCATTTCAAATAGACCAACTCATTTGTCACTCTAATTCAACAAATTGTTAAATTTGCTTAGTCATACTCATATATTTTCGTATGGAGGGAAACATGAATCAGGTTGCATGAGTTTTTCTTTTAAAATGAGGTGATTGTTAAAGTAAGCTTATTTTATGAATAATATAGGTTTCTATTTTCACAGGTGAAATATAAACAATAATTTATTAAAAAAAAATATACTTGAGATGAAATTTGTTGTTCCAGTCTCACTCTGCTTAGTTGTAGTTACTATTAATGCGTTTAACTGTCCTTGTCATGACAATCGAGGAAATTGCCCAGAACCGAAGTGCAAACGCGGAGTCGGTGTGGTTATGGATCCATGCGGGTAAGTTGCTTAGTACGGGATGAAAAATCATCAAAAATCTGTCAGGGAAATGTTGATAAAAATATGATTTTATTATAAACCCGTTGTTATAATTCGTCGTCTCGAATACTACCTGAATAAATTATTTATACTGACCAAATATGTAGCTTTAGAAAGCTAGAACACAAACGACAAGCATGAACTGTAGTAAGGTGAACACAGTTCACTGTAACCCAACAATAACCAGTGATTACAACACAAAGAATAAAATCGTTGCAATACCATTAAGATGTAAACATTGTTGTTCTGGGAAGGGAGTAGCCTCAAATCTGCAATTTTGCTCACTACATTTTTGAAATTTGTATTTCGCAATCAGTAAGAATTTATGTGCATGGATTTTAGATGTTGCAAAGTTTGTTCTCAACAAAAATGGCAAGAATGTGGCGGACCGTGGAATGCTCTTGGAAAGTGCGACCCCACGAAAAAACTGGATTGTGTAGCGAAACCATTATGTGGACCACCAATGAGAACACCCTTCCCGGGAAAACCACCAGGGATTTGCATTCCGCCTAGACATCTTGTTAGTATTTTGTGTATGCATTTATCGAGTTCGATATTCGTAATATTTCTACAAATGTCTTTACAAATAATCGAATATATGCATGTTCCGTTTCGTAGCAATACGTATATTTGCTATAATATTTGTATTCACTAGCGTTGCAATAAATCCCTCATTCTCATATCGTCTTTTTGTGTATATATTGAGAAGTCTCAAATTGCCTTAGATCTATCTCAAAAGATTGTAGTATAACACAACTATATTTATAATAGTAATGTACAACAATAGTGATCGCAAACATAAATTTTCTAGTAGTTTAATATCGTCCAAATAATGTATATATAAACTAATACATAGATATTTACATAACTCATAACTTTTTTTATAGAGAATATTGAAAAAATACTGCGGACCACAGCGGGATCTTCTTTGCGGCACCAATCCGTTTGCCCACAATGAAGAATGACCGACAACAGCACACATTATTTAATTGATATTTTGTGTATTTATTTGTAAATAATATATATAATATTTTTCTTACAATATTTATCTTAACACGAGAACGAAATCAGTGGAGTTTGCTCTGCAGACAGATTTAGGGTAATCGAGAATATCCTTGCGGGTATAATAATTTAAATAGATTGCAATTGTTCAGAAACATTACCTCCTCATTTTGCTCTCCCAATATATTGTTTTCGCAGAAGTCCAATAAACATTTCACTTATTTTAATGTGAACTAATAACCCTCTTTGTAATTTTTGACTTGTTGATAACACGTGTAGTGTGACATTTGGTGAAGTGCATAAAGCATATGTATATAGGAGTATTAGAATGCAATTTTCCATTTTTTTTTTTTTGTATTTCTGATTTTTGATTGATTACCCCCAGCATATCATTAAAACTTGAAAGTCAAAACGGTGTCGTATTATCGCCAAGTTGGTGACTGCATCAAAGTTGTAAGATTTTACTAGCAATTTTCACAGGGACGCTTTGAGGAAACAATGTAAGAAATTATTAAACATATGTCGCGTACCTGCAACAGTGAATACCATACTTGAGTTCGGCAACGGGCTCACGTCATGGATTGTCAGTTACGGCTTTATCCGCCAACCTTGCTTGTAGGCGTATAGCTTGAGAAGGCGTGTGTGGGCAAGTCAAACGATCGTATTCGGCATGGTAAAACATTTAGAATAACCAAGCACATAATTCAACTTCGCTAGTTGCATCAGCTAACCATGACAATAGTCAATTCAGTGACATTAGTGATGTAACAATATGTCAAAAGATTTTTCTGGTTAATTTTATGACGAAACAACACCAAATGTGATTTTTGATCAACCTCCAGTAAATGCGACGCCGCCCACAGATAATCAAGCTGCAGGCCACATGCGGGTATGGTGTTAGTTCAGTGTTCCCTCTAAGAAACTTTCACACTGCGCAAATGTTGGTTTTACTGAGCAAGACTATTTTAACGCTGAGCCGAATCCTGAATTATTTGCAAACTTTGTTGAAAGTAACAATAGTAGCCTATTATTTATTATCGGAATGCGAAGAAAGCACACATTTAATTTAAATATCTTCTCAGACTTGTTTTCGTGCTTTTCCAACGTTCATACGCTTTGTCCATGTTTGTTGTGTTTCATTGCTGAATCAAGCGACAATCATACAAAGTACAATACTTAATGTACAATCTCAACATTTTTGTTGTTAAAATATCATTGCTTCCATCAACAATCAGGGTATGAAATTTTGTTTGTCTTACGCTCAGTAAAAGTCCATGCTCTTCAAAAATTCAAAGCCGTAATTTTTGTTTCAATATGAATGTGGCAATTTAGTGTATTTTGACACACGGCTATTTATCACCTCGCGACAATATTGATGTTTTCAGCTTAACACGTGGTAGAACACTATCTATGTGAGGCTTTATTTCAAAACTTCACTCTCTTCAGCGGTAGGTATTGCGGTGAGAAAGTTCGAACAACCTCCTCTTGCTTCCACGTTTCGCTTCTGAGGTAATGCATCTAGTGCAGGTGTCCAACCTTTCCACCCTGGCGGACCGGTTAAATTAAATAAAATGTATTCGCGGACCGGCAAAATGTGAAATAGTTGGAACATAAAATAATAACATATATTTGCATAACAACATGCAGTGCTGGGCACCGATTTCGCGTAAAAAATACACCAAGAAAACACCTCACGTAAAAAACATGTACATGCCAAATCATGTACAAACACAGTTACCTCTAGTGAGAATTTGCTGCTGTTTCGTTGTCAATACAAGATTGCAAACGAGGCATGAAAAAGGTTTTGCAACACCTAGCTCTGCAGCGGCCCACAGACTATTTCTTTGCTTCGTTTTAATTAAAGCTAGCGATGATGTAGTTTTTTCGTATAAGTACCTGGTTGAATATTTGGACAACAGTTTGATTGTTCGATTACCTAACGATGGGCATTTGTTATCAAGAGAGCTCAAATATTGTGACAGTGATTCTTTTATAAATCTGGACTGTAAACTAGTGGTTTCATCATAACATCCCTCTGCATCCCGCCCCAGACAAATGAATTTATATTACAATGATAAAGTAATTTCTAACTTGGCACCATGGGGTCAAAATCCTTCTGTGCATCACCTAGAAAAGATCTTAATGTTTTTGTTGCGCATCTCATGACCACCTGCTGGGCCGCAACAAGTTCATATTTTGCTGGTTCCCAAGGCATACTCTGTAATATTATACATTTCTTGAATGTTTTCTGGTTTAAACAAAGAAATGTTCATAACCTTATATTTGGATGGTAATATTAATGAAAAAAGCACGCAGAACGGAAAAAGCACGCATGCTGATTTCCAGGTTTATGAATCTTGCGAGATTTGACGGGGCTATTTTGCGATGAATCGGAAACGAAAAGTGTGATCACACGGCGCCAATACGTTGCCATACGATTAATACCGCCCTCACCAAACAGTAATATGACGGCGGAAGAGAAATGCGTAATAAACCGTCAATCCGTCTTTTCGGATAAAGCGATCGATACGGCAGAAAATCAACAAAACGAAATTTCTCGCTGAACGGTTAAAAAGCTTCGTGGACCGGCACCGGTGGTTGGGAACCATTCTATTGCGTCAATATGCATTTTCTGATTTGAATGACGTTTTAGATAGGCAACTTCCCATTCCCATCCAGGATTTGCCTTTTCCAAATCACTATTAGGTGCCACTTCCCGACAAACTTTGCAGATTATCAGATTCCTTTACGCGGAATAGCAATAAATTTCAGAAAGTTTAGAAGTTTTTTCAACTTATATACCGTTATCACATTGCAAATTAGTGTCAAACACTATACTGTTGCATTTAGTCATTCCACTTTAAAATCAGTGTTCTTATTTTTAGCCATGCTACGTGGAATATACGTTTTACTCACACGTCAGATAAATAACACTAGTATCCCGGTTTTGGTATATTGGTTAATAAACCACTCATTCTAGTAACCTGCTGAATATTAAAGCGCTTAAAACTCTTTTTAGTAATTTCAGGTGAAACATACTTATTATATAACATTGGTATCATTCAGTATAACCTCATGGTCACGTGTGTCCCAATCTGGAGATTCAAGAGCCGACGGCGCTAGCACTCGCTTTAACTCAGTCCTCCTTCAAATTCCAACTAGTTTAGCGCAGCAGAGCGAGCAACCAACAAATTTACTGTAACAAACAGTGGGCACCAGCTTTGCAACATTTGAAACCTGCTAAAATTCTAAATCTTCCATTTCTACATCTGTATTGACTACACTATAGGGACAATAACAAGATTTTGTCGGGTCGACAACACGAAATTCATAGCGCACGATGAAAATTTTAAAATGCGGCACCGGCATACAGAAATCAATGTACTTGAGCGTGACAAACACGTGTGTGACTTCACAATGACCAGTGGTCACCAAATACGCGTGAAACACAGGACAAGCATTCTAGTTAAGGTTAATAAATATGAAATATGAGCCACGCTCTGAAAACGAAATGTTGCAGCTGCGCGAGAATGAGATTTTACTGCGCAAATGTTCTGGTGGCACTGCGCACTTGCGCAGCTTAGAGGGAACCTTGGGTTAGTTATCCAGTTATTTGTTTTCAGATATATGAACTTGATGGTAGTGGAAGCCGTAACAGACCAGCGGTTAATTGAACCATCTTGCCGGTCCAGCAATCTTCTCGCGCATAATTATCATGGTAGGTGAGTTTATTTCGATTTTCCGTTACACCAAACCAATGACGCATTACATGGCAAAACAAATGAATGTATGGAAAATCAGAAAAGTGGGCAAAATCTCAAAAAGATTTAAAACGTACTGATGCACGCGCCCACGTACCCAAACATCAAACAAAACATTGAGGTAAATTTAAAAAAATATATACGAAAGATAATTCGGGCATAAATACTCGGGTGCGAATGTTGGATTTGAACATAGACTGCAATTTCTATTATATCTATACAAGAAAATAAAGAGAAGTGTAGAATACAACAAACAAACCCGGCGTTCCAATTTCACTTGTGGTGTAAGTAGTCTCTCTCGAACCATCGATGACTTCACAAGGTCAAGGTATCGATGCTCGAACCCACGCATGGTAATCAGTGGTGCGGTGGCGAGCGTATTCCTTAACTAACGCTATGCACGATGCGCCGAACCGGGATAGGATAGGATTTACATATCTATCCCGTGGGAGAAGATTAAGTCGATAAGACGGCTCAACCATATGGCGAACCACGGCTTCTCGTCCGGTTACCATTTCATGTCGGGAATGGGAATAGTTAGTTATTTGTTTTTGGCAGCATGGACTTGTTGGTGGAGGAAGCCATAACCGACCAGCCGTTACGTGGACCACCCTACGGAGTACAGCAATCCTCTCGCACAAAACTATTTACGCAGGAGATGCAAACCAACACAAAGTAATCAGAAGTGCGGTGGCGAGCGTTTTCCTTACACTTAACATGATGAGCAACAACGACGCGTCAGGGGGTACTTATAAAATAACTATGTCCGCTATGTCCCCTTCTAAAATGGCTATGTCCCTGCTAAAATCGCAATCCGGATATGTCCCTACTAAAATTATTATGTCCCCACTGAAATGGCGATGTCCACTATGTCCCTGCTGGAATGGCTATGTCCCTACTGAAATGGCGATGTCCCTGCTGGAATGGCTATATCTCTACTAAAATGGCTATGTCCATACTACAATGGCTATGTCCCTACTAAAATGGTTATGTCTACTAAAATGGATATGTCCTTTCTGAAAAGGCTCGACCCTAATAAAATGGCTATGTCCGATATGTCCCTACTAAAATGGCGATTTTTGTCATGTCCTTACTAAATTGGCTATGTCCGCTATGCCCTCACTAAAATGGCTATGTTCCTACCAAAATGCCTATGCCCCGTACTAGGCTTGTACGTAATTTACGGATTCACGGAATTACGTAATTATTTCGAGTTACGGAAGGGAAGTTACGATTTACGTAAAGTCGTAATTATTGGTCCAGCGCTTTCGTGATGAAACGAGCTCTTTTCAAAGCAGTCAATTCCATTGATTGTAAAAAATGAAAATGAAACAAGTAGAAGAAGTTAGAGTTTCGGTATTCGCAGCCGTTTTTCTCTCTCTTGCCAATACGACGCCGTGATAATTAATGTCGCGCTTATCAAACAGCAATATGACGAAGGAAAAGAAATTGCGTGATGAACCAACGCAACTTCGTCTTTTCGGCATCGGTAAAGCGATTGAGACGGCAGAGAAACAACAAAACAACGAGATTTTCCGCGGACCGGCGGTTGGGAACCACCGTTCTAGAATACTTAAATCGAATCTAGAATCCTATTCCATTTTTATAGTTACACGTATTTCAACAGTGGAAATTCCCCACCACAATGCATGATTAAAATTAAAAAAAAGCTAAATTGTAGCCTAAATGTATGGTTCCATTACATTTGAACCCATGACAATTGCACCTGTGGAATTTTTTTTGTTTCACGGATAGTTAAACCCATACTAACCCTAACTCATGGGTTTTAGCACCCGCATATAGATTGAACCCGTGGATATACGCATGGGTTCAAATGTACATGGGTTCAAATGTGCGGTCACCTAAATGTATAGCTATCTTTGTACAGTATTTAATTGGAAATAATATTTCACCAAGGGAACGAGATTTAAGAATTTCACGATCATCTTTTTGTCTTTAACAGTTCTCATATTCTCAATTTAACTACTATCAAATACAATCAAGTATGAGCTAGTGTGTTTATTCTGTGCGTGATCCATTTTCTATTACGAAATCTTTCTGTTACACTGGTTATATCGTTATATGTCCGGACCTGGCCTTGCTCAATATGTTTTTCACAATGCCTCGCAAAATTTCGGCCAAATACCACAAATTTCGCCGACTCGAATACCACAGGCACTCGACCAAACTTGTGTGAATCTTGGCCGATAGGATCGTCGACTTTGGTTAGAAAAATAAGTTAATTTTTTGTGCAAAATAAATGTCACAATATGCATTGTTTTGCGATATAACTTTGTATTTTCGGAGAAGGAATGTCATATAAGTACGGCATTTAAATTATGCGCAAATAATGGTATAACATTTAGGCAGCGAAATGATTTAATGTCAAATGAAGGATGGTGTCGGAATATCGTCAATAAGTCGACATCAATAATTATTATAAAATGCTAACTAGGTAGACGGTAGTAAAGTCGAATAATGTAAAAAACGGTGCAATAACAAGTCTTCGTCGCGAGGCAAGCGCAAGTATAATCAAACGCGAGAATACGCTCGTCGTTGATTATTAAATAAGAATCCCGAAACTTTTATTTAATAGAAAAGTTCATTTAAAAAAGTCAACTATCGTTTCATAAAGATCCGTATACCAGTGTCGGTAATGATAAAATTGATCGCATAAAATTGGGACGGTTAATTTGCGGAGGTGACAAAGAAAAATCAAAACTAACACTAAAGATAAAAATCAGAATAAAATTAATTTGAATTCACTCCCTGATAGTTGTCTTTAACATCTGTCGCCGGCGTGTAATACTGCCAGGATTATGAAAACCAAACTTCGATGTCGCATTCGGAAAAGAAGTGGATTCAATAGGTTTTTATGATAGGTTTAAATGTGTGAAAAAATATCGCAATTACGGGATCAATATGTAATCGATTTGGCCGTAATTACGGAATTGATTTTTGTCAATTACGTGCAAGCCTACCCCGTACTACAATGGCGATGTCCACTATGCCCATATTAAGATGGCTATATCCCTCCTAAAATGGCTGTGTCACTAATAAAATGGCTATGTCTCTTTTAAAATAGTGATGTCCGCTATATCCCTAATAAAGTGGCTATGTCCCTACTAAAATGGCTATGTCCGCTATGTCACTACTGAAATGGCTATGTCCCTTTTAAAATAGTGATGCCCGCTATATTCCTACTAAAATGTCTATGTCCCAACTAAATACCCGATGCCGATAAGAACATAGCCATTTTAGCAAATGACATAGCGGACATAGCCATTTTAGTAGAGATCAATATTTTAGATGGGACATAGGCATTTTAGTAGGGACATATCGGGATCGCGATTTTAGATGGTAGCCTACATAGCCATTTTTGTGGGAACATAGGGGCCATTTTAGTAGGGACATAGCCATTTCAATAGGGACATCGCCATTTCAGTAGGGACATAGCGAACATATCCATTTTAGTAGCGATTTTAGTAGGGACATAGCGGACATTGCCATTTTAGTAGAGACATAGGCATTCTAGTAGGGACATATCGGGGTCGTGATTTTAGAAGGTACATAAGCATTTTAGTGGGGACATATCGGGAGCGCGATTTTGAAAGTGACATAGCCATTTTAGTAGGGACATAGTCGTTTTAGTAGGGACATAGTCATTTTAGTAGGGACATATCGGAATCACGTTTTCAGAGGGGACATAGCCATTCAAGTAGAGACATAGCGGACATCGCCATCTTAGTAGGGACATAATCATTTTAGTAGGGACATATCGGGATCGCGATTTTAGAAGGTACATAGCCATTTTAGTAGGGGTATAGCGGACATCCCCTTTTTAGTATGGACATAGCGGACATCGCCATTTTAGTATGGACATAGCGGACATCGCCATTTTAGTAGGGACGTAGTCACTTTAGTAGGGACAAAATTATCGAGGTCGCGATTTTAGAAGGGACATAGCCATTTTAGTAGGGACATAGCCGTTTTAGTAGGAACATAGCGGACATAGCCATTTTAGTAGGGATTCAGCGGGTACCTCTATTTTAGAAGGGACATCGACATTTTAGTAGGGACATATCGGGATCGCGATTTTAAAGGGGTCATAGCCATTTTAGTAGCGACATAGCGGACATTTTAGTAGGGATATAGCGGGCATCGCTATTTTAGAAGGAATATAGCCATTTTAGTAGTGACATAGCGGATATAGTCATTTTGGTAGGGACATCGCTATTTTAGTAAGGTCATAACCATTATACGAGGGACATAGCAACTTAAGTAGGGGCATATAGTGGACATCGTCATTTTAGTACAGGCATAGCGGACAGAGCCATTTTAGTAGGGACATCGCGACATTATTAGCTTTTCCATTCTAAATCATACAGACTGCTTTATTTATTCTTAACGAAAATTAATAAATTTCTCTTTCTTCGGAGGACAACCCTGTCTAAGCATTGTGAGACTCCTGCAGCACAAGAGGTAATAGCAAAAATAGTAAGTATATCAATCAAGAAATTAAGCCGACATAAAGCAAAACTTTCAACTATTCGTCTAACCTCAATTTCCTATTATTTATTCACAGGACAACTGTAGCAGAAGGGGAGATATCAGAAGTCTGGCGACATATCAGTGACAGTGTGATTCCAAGAAATATAATTAGAGTAGGCCCTACTCCATAAATGTTTGCAATAGAAGAACAACCTATGGAGGCATGCAAAGACATTTGACCCTCCGGTAGAGTTGTTTATGGCCCCCACATCCTGCAGGGCTTGTGGATAATAAATTCCAAGCGTAAGATTGCATAAGCGGTCTTATTTGTAAAAAGGCACAAAACACGCCAGCCATACTCAAAACAGCTTTGGAAAATGAGGATTACGGGTCACTCACTACACTCACTACAATAAATACAGTAACTTGCAATAATAGTGGAATGCAAATATTAATATGTATTTGCATTTGAAATTAAAAATAATAAAACTTAATCCAACTGTTTAGTTGCATCACAATATATTTCACAAACTAAAACTACCTTTCAAGTATACATTATCAAAAACTGTTTGCGGCCCTTTCTACAATTTCCAAAATGCAATGCGGCTCTCGAAAACCCACGAGTTTGACACCACTGATCTATTCTAGACATTGCTTTGGGAAATAATATCACTTCAATTAAATTGAAAAAGATCTCGCTATATTAGATACAAAATCGTTGTTATCATAAAGGTAAACCAATTCAGCCACTCGAAATATATTGGCCTTCACAAAGCAATGGAGGCAAAATCGAGAGTTCATGAGCTATGAATTTTAGTTCTTTTCTTCGTCTTGAACTTTTCATACTCCACAGCCCCTATTAGTTTCTTTTTTAATTACCATGTGATGGTCATATATATCTTTAACTTGTATTTTCTGTCATGGTGTATTATCTCAATGTGTCAAACATTTAATTAGTGTGCATATTTTGCTTCCAGATGATATAAATGTTTTGTCTTGTTTATTACCTCAGCTTGGAGTATTGACAAAAAAAAGGTGCCAGTAAATTACGTAAAAAATTTTTCAACTCTTTGTTATAATCAGAATTCACAATTAATAGGAATTATAAACAGCCAACAATTAATGAGAATTATATGCGAAATCCCTCAGAATAAATTTGTCTCCTAAAATCGGAGGAAGGCAAAACATATAGGTAGTTCCCATTCACACAACTAAATGAGCATCGTCAGGTGATCGGTAAGGCTGCAAGTTGAGTTCAGCCCTGCAACCTCCTGCATAGAAGATAATATTAATTAGTGGGCTATGAGCTGAATTCCTAAATTTATACACAAACCTATCTACGAGGCATTATGTACCAGCAATGTTACCTGCGATTAACTGAATATATAATATGTCTAATAAATTCACCTACTAAAGCAAGTTCGATAGGTGCGAACTTGGTATGTTATGGAAATGTACCACAGCACCGTTAATCGAAGTAAAAACAGTTTTGCTGTTTTGTATGACACCCTCTTTAAATGAAATTTCAATGTTTAAGCGCAAACATTAAAATTACTAACTTTGAACTTTGTCATTATCTGCAAAATGTTCCACACAAATCTTTACGCTATCGCGTTTGTAATATTCTCTGATAAAAAAACGTCTAAGATGTCCAGAATTACTCTTCACAGCTTGTCTGCCATTCCAGCTTTCCAAGTGAGCAAAACTTCTTAGATATAGAGATTATTTTCTTTCGTTACAGTAGTTCGCCGAGTAGCAAAAGCGAGTAGAAACGGTCGCGAAAGGCGACGAGAAATATGTGCATTGGAGCGTATCATGACATACAATCTTTCGCCTGTAGTCTTATCAGAGCCAATATAATGGCTCTGGTCTTATGGAGTGACGTCAGAGTTGCCTATCATGTTGTTTAATGTCATTGGTGGCATACCGGTATATACCAGTGCAGACTGCAGAAGGCCAATCAAAAAGGTAACCCATTTTTATCAGTTTCAGAAAGATTTATTGCTAAAAGCAAAATATCTATCAACGTCATGATTTGGAAACACCCCAGGCCTGTGTAATGAAAAACTGTGGGCATATTGGCGTTCCGGTACCGGTAACGGCAGTAGCGGGTCAGGAGGCGGGACTAGGCTCTGAGATTCAGAGATTTGAAAGCTGGCATACGTTGCATTGCTGCATTGTCAGATTGTGGTATCGAATCCAGTAATCTGATATTGGATTTCTCTGTTTGCACCTTTTAAACTTGGAAATATAGAGCCAGACAACGCTAGTGCCATACATTCAACGTATTACAGTGCTATAGAAAAAAGTGTGTCAAGAAAAAGTCATGGAAGTCCGGCAAAGAACTGATAAAAAAGGCCCTTTTCGACAAGGTGAATAATCCACTTTCAGACTTTGTGGGACCCTATAAAAATAATAAATACGGGTAGTCTTTTTCCTAATTTCTTATGTGTATTTTTCATATTCCTGCTAGAAATTTTTGTTGTTTTGCAAAAGCGATTTGTTAAATCTCGGAAGTCAGAAGTGTTCAAAACACAAAAATTGTGTTTTAGTCCACATCACCCTCTCCATTTTTTTGTGCTTTACATACAGGCATATCAAAGTACTGAAGTATGTTCGAACAGATAAGAATGACACTTGTTTCATAATTTATGCTACCATTCCAGCATTCAGCCATTGAATGTTGATTGAAATGTACATTTGAATTATATTCGAACGAAGGCTTCTAAATTAGTTAACGTTAACTTTGAATGTTCGACCCAGATTTGTGTTGGTAGTGCTGTAGTGAGTAGGATTTTCATTTCGATATGACAGAATGAACAAATACTAATTTAATTCAAAGACTGTCGTATGATGGTTCTCCTTGTTGTAACCTACTACACAGTACTAGGGTGGCTTACCCACTTTGCGGCCATGACCTATTTGCGGCCATCAACTTCATCGATCTAATTAATACCGAAAAAATTAACGAACCGCGATGATATTTCTCACGCTTTATCGTACACTTGTCCCTCATAGCTCTGCGAAATTACACTAAAATGTGGCCACAAACAAAAAAGTTACGACCGAAAACCCGACCAAAGAAGAAGAAAAAAACGGAACATTTTTTCATGTTGCTAACTACCCATTGTCCCATTAAAAAAACTTGAAATTCCAAACAAATATAAGGGATAAAAAGATGAAACTTGGCAAGGGGGTAGAGTTGTGTTTCTTTTAACCATCTTTAAATTTTCGCGATTCTACATTCGAAGGAGGGGGAATTGGGGGGGCGCATTTCCAATACTTTCCAATATCTTTGTCAACCAATTTGCGACCACCGTGTTTTTGTCTGTTTGATTGCTGTGTGGTGGTGCTTTGTATATAATTTGACGAGTTTTGTTCGAAATAACCGTGTTCTTAAAATATATGGCGGTCAGAAATGCAAATAGAAGCCCAATTTTTTCACGCATGGCTGCGCATGCTCTAGTCTCGACGCAGCAGAAACGATGTTCAAGGCTTGAAATCTGTGGTCGTTCAGTTGCAAATACGTCTTCCGAGTGGTGTACTTTGGTGGTTTGTATAGCTTTAATAACCCCTGGTCGTAGAAAGTTAGCGTGTAGAATGAATGCCAATGCACCTACGGTGAAAAAATTAACAGGTTAGAAATATTGGTTTTTGTTTTATAGCGGTTTGAATGAAATCGTCCGCAGACTGGCTACACCACCCTGCATGGAAAATACTAATTTATCTAAATGTTGGACACATTGTTTTTATATATCAGTGTATAGCAAAGCAGTAATGAAGGCATGACTTTAAATAATAAGAATGTCACATCATTCAAAAAAGCGCCGACAGTTTGTATAGATTTGGTTACGCAGTCAGACAGTTCTCCAAGTTCATGATGTTCTGACATTTGGTTCAATGAAACATACACTCTCATCTGGCAGATGCATCACATCACGCTACGCTTGTCGCGCTAATGATTTAAAGCAATTCAGCAATTGCATTTTTTTGCTAGGAACTCTTTTGGGGTTTGCACTCCCTTTAGTAATTGATTTTTCAATGTGGGGTTATTCTTGGAATCGGACAACTGTGCAGACTGTTGATAGTCGTGGATGGGAGTGCGCCACTTTTGATGCCTTGAATTTTGATTTTGCGTATGTCGCAACACTACCTACCTATGTCACTGTTTTTCAATACTGTGATATAAGAATATTCACACAGTCAAAAACTACGAAACAGCAAATTCAAAAAAAAAAATTCAATAAAATGAGACCTCGTGCCTGTATTCCCATTTTTTAATTTCATGCTTTATGTCAGACATTCCAATATTTAGTACTGGTAGCTGGCCCGCAAGAATATTACGCTATATCTGATGTTGGGAAATACTGCCCTAGTCAATGTGCTTAAACAGGGTTAGGTCTCTTTCAAGAGATTTTGCTCAAAGCAAGATAACAGTATTTATATTTTTCAATAACCTATAAATTTGTGAATTTAATAATTCAAATGATTCTTGTGCTTCACTCACAGGAAAAAAATCAAAGGATGACCACCACCATGATCATCACCATGGCCATCCTAAAACTCATGAATTATCAATGGATGGACACATATCTTGTTTTTCATGGATGCTTCTTATGGCAGTGTTTTATTTCTCTCTTGTTTCTTTGAACATACTTGTGAACAATCATCTACCAATGCCTAGGACGATCAAAGGATCTACACCTGACGAGTTTACGGAAGAACGTGCAAGGTACAAGATGCTGGCGAGGAATATATTTGATAAATTGAGTTTATATTTTTCAAGTTCCAGACCCTTATTTTAGCCCAAAACTCAGTAAAATGGCCATGCAGAAATCAAATGTTTAATCAATTGCCATGATGAGATTGAGATGTCATAGCACTAACCTGTCAACATGATTTTTCGTAATCTGGTTTAAATTATAAATATAATATAATGACCATGAAATACTAGTCTTGAAGAATGATGTGCATCAATATACATGCTAATATGTTTTATATATTTTCAGATCACATTTAGAAAATTTTGTGAAAATGGGTTCCAGACCAGCAGGGAGTTATGAAAATGACATTGGTGCCATGAATTACATCATGAAATCTATCATCAATGTTAAGAATTCATATAATACAAAGAAAAAAATTCAAGTGAATGTTCAGAGACCAGAGGTAGCCTATGTTGGTACCATTGTCATGATACCTTTTCTAAGATTCCTAATCACCAATTTGATAACAATGTACCATTTTAAGTACAGTAGAACCTTTATTACAAAATTAATTTGTTTTGTAAGCAAAAAATATTGTGAGTAGAATATCATTTCACCCTATAAATGCTCTAATACAGGGGTTCTCAAACTTTTGGTTCTGCGGAGCCCTTGAAAAGGTTGACTATTATTCAGGGAGCCCCAAAATAAATGTTAAAATTGGTACTTTCAGATTAATATTCCGGAGCAAGTTAAAAGTACTTTACTTAATTTAAATGCTTAACCTTTTTTAATAGGGTTAATACAAGTCGTACATAAATCTAAATTTCAAACATAAATTATATATACTAAAGCTGTGAATTTGACAGCTGATAAACATATTAATAAATTAGGGGTCGAATCTTTTCCCTTTTGACATTTTTGGAAGACTTAAAAGGCCGCTAATAACGTGCGCGATTGCATTTTGTTACCATCACGATTTTTTTCGTCAGCATGGCGTGTTTTTGAACCTCTAAACATCTTTACGCCGGTGTTTATTCTTCCTGGATCAAAAATTTCCCTCGGCATATACATGTATTGTTACACAATGACGACGTTATTTGATTTTTTGTTCTCGTGGGGAATTATGAGTTCAATGTGAAAAACATGTTACCATATTATAGTCATCGGCGACGAAATGCTACAAATGATAATTAATAAAGAGGCGAATCCGCAACTCTAATTTCTTGATTGAAAAGCGGCATTCTAAAATATTAAAACTGAAACTTAAAATGGAAGGATCACACGTTTGGTTTCAGCAGACTCACCTCAGGTTGAAAATGCTTTTATAGACATTGTAAATCACAAAATTTAGTGTTATGTTAGGTTTTCATCGTAGTAACTGCAAATCGTAACACAGTCAATTGTGCGCGCGATGTACCTTTTTCCCCATTATGAAACTACCGACTGAGCCGCACGCAATAAAATTAATTTCAATTGTTCGTATTTTGCCCAGACATTGTGATTTTTTAAACGGCGATATCTTGCTTAAAAATAATCTCAAGTGCGAAAGAATAAATTAAGTTTGACAAATCCCAAGATCGCAAAAATACGACTTCAATTTATTTATAGGTTGGCACTTGGCAGTTTATCACATATTTTATGCTATTTTAGAATAGTATTCTTTCATTTTAGTAATCTTAATAGTAATCTAGAATCAAACGTGAGTAACGATGAGCACAATTACATTATAACGACGAGACACGTTAAATGCTCGCATCTGTCATGGGTTGAATATTTTACGAACAGAAATCTCGTTATCCGTTTTTTTAATCGCGAAGAATGTTGAGCGGAAATTTCCGATTCCAATTTTGAACCACCTCCCTCTTAGAATCCCGGCTGCGCTCCTGCCTATAAATAATGTCATTTTTTAATTCCATCTCTTTGCCATATTTCGAGGCTATATTGTTGCCAGATTTTATCAAAGCTGTTATTGCATTTTTGGACAGTTACAAAATTAGCCAGTATTTTCAAAAGTAATCGAATAGCTCACGGAGCCCCTTGGTTTCTCTGGCGGAGCCCTGGGGCTCCGTACGGAGCACTTTGAGAACCTATGCTCTAATACCTCTGTGAGACTGGTTGTACATACGTACCCGCGGGAAACAAACGAACGAATGGGATGTTCGGATTCAGGAAGTTACTGGGCATCAGCCAATGGCAGAGCACCTTCAGGCTTTCGTATTTAGAAGCATTTTTTCGGAGCAATATTTCTACCAAAAAACATTTCGCAACTTGGAAATTTTTTATTTGGAGTCTTTCGTTAGTGGAGGTTCTAAATTATGTGTTATGTTCTAAATCTATTCTAAACATGTGCTAAATATAGTGATAGTTGATGTGAGCCATGAATTATGTCTTGAACATAACAGTATCTTTGTTTCCTATGGTTCTTTCGGATTCATGAAAGTGATAATTTTCTTCCTCATTTTGCTCATGGTAATGATAAAATTAAAGAATTTTGAATTGTATTTTGAATCAAGCTGTAGATATCTCGAAAGTTGATGGTAAACTCACAGAAAGTTTGTAAGATATTAGCTACACACAAACTGTTATAAGATTTGGAATACTGTTTTATTATTATCATCAAATTACTACTTCTAATATTCATGAATTTCTCAGGATTTATTAATGATAAAATTCGTATGGATTAATTTAACTAAATATTGAAATCACGTAACTACCTTGATTTATTCAATATTATGGTATAATTTCAGGGATGTTTTTATCTACCGTTCTTGGATGACTTCACCCAATGCTACAATAATATCACAAATACAGTAGCAAGGATTTCATCTCCTGAATCTGATGAAAATGCTCTTTTACTCAATTGCCACACTGATTCTGTCATCAATGGACCAGGTGTTACTCAATTTAAAATCATATTTTTGATAAATACCCCTTGCCCCATGCGGCATGAGCATTTTGTTGGTGTGTGTGTGTACCAATATGGATTATGGAGGTAACTAATTTTGTTCACCTACTTTACATCAAGTTGTGTAAAGGGACTGAAGCCTATGGACAAGAGGGTACGGTATATTCACTTGGCTAACACAGACAGTCCCCGAACTCGTATTATTAAAACTAAAATAAGGAAAATCTGAATAAAATTATGGCCTAACCCAAACCTGGTACACATACTACAAAAGTACCTTCTATTTTTTTGTATCATCATGTGCATATTAATGTGATTAATGGTTGATATTTAATAATATTTAACTTTTTGCCAAACTCTTGACATAGTATCCTAAGTCATATTTCTCTTATTTTTTAAAAGAACTATTTAGATAAATGTAGAGAAACTTGTTTTATTTTGTTTCCACATTCCATCTACAGGTGCTAGTGATGATGCAGTTGCTTGTTCTGTTATGTTGGAGATTTTACGAGCCATTGTAGCAGATGAAACTCCTCTTGCGCATCCTTTGATTTTTCTATTCAATGGAGCAGAAGAAAATATTCTTCAAGCAAGTCATGGATTTGTCACCCAACATAAGTGGGTTAAACAGGTGAATATTTCAAAGATAAACTACTGTCTTTTTATGAGGATTTAGTTATCGTAGATTTGAAATGAGAAAATTGGTTTGAACTTTAGAACTGCGTAGTTGGAAATAATTTATACAATTTGGTTGGCATAATATAATATTCAAAGTTATGCACACATTATTTCCATGCACTGATCCTGAAAGCAACATGTGCGTGTTAGTGTACATAGTTCCATGTTCTTATCTTAAGTAAATATCAAGAAGTAATGACACGTGCACATTTAATTTATTTTGGATATATTGTATATAACAAGGTCCGCATGTAAGTGTGACATAAAAAGTTAAGTTTTATGAAAAATATTTACAGTGTTACAAAAGCAAAAATGGAAAATGAAAAGTCTCTGCGCCAAAACGAAATTTAATCGCAAACTCAACAATTCCCGAAGCTATTTATTAGCTAATATATCAAACTTTGGTTTCAGTTTCGTTGTGGCAGTATCAGGCGGGCCAGATCAAAATATTCAGCGGGCCGGGTTAGGCCTGCAGGCCATGTCAGTTATATAAGATCGCAGTTTATTATTAAGCGATTGCCCCGAATTTTGTTGAAAGATGTTGATTGTAAGCTAAAAATAAAAATGAATAAAGCAATGTTATACAGTTGTATAACCGTAGTCACAATATGACATTCAATAACATGCAAACTTATATTATCTATTTCAAGTAGCTTGCCAAATTTCCGTAATGTGAAGTAAAAAATATTCTATCACCACGTTTCAGATTTGACTTTAGGAAGAATAACATAAGGAGTACTAACATAATTTGATACCATTCAAATAATTTCCCAGTTATCGCTTCTATTGTGTTTATCTAAGGTCTTTCCTGTAACTCGATTCTCTTTTGTCACCCAATACAGCTTGACCACAATCTGTAACTGTTGGTCGTTAAGTCATTTTAAAATAATACAGCACTTCAATTCAAAATATGAATACTTATTATTCAAGGTTTTTTTTAACAAATACTCAAAATAATGATTGAAGTAAGGATTTAATAATGTTCTGATCTACGGTAATTGATGTATGGGTGTGAGTGTGACGGCTGCTGTACTAGCATATCTATGTGGTTCAATAAATGAAAATTTATAGTTTCCAGTCAAAAGAAATATATTGAATGTCAAATGATTTCATGTCAAATAGGCTGTAAATGTTCATCTCCAAAATTTTTCGAAATGAAAAGATTATTTGTGAATCAGGCCATCATATTTTTTATTAAAAATTTCAAATTATTGGTTTTTGAAAATTTAAACTATTTAAATTTAATATTGAATTATAAATTTGGGTTATTTAATTTACTGCTTCTTTATAAAATATTTGATTATCGATCATACGTTCATTATACAATTAATTCAGATTATACAATTAAATAAGTTTGAAACTGAAATTCCAAAGCAACAACTTACGTTTATAAAATTGTAATTGATTGCCAAATGCTCTAAATACAAAACAAAGCAGAGCAATTCATAAACAGTACATTTTCTTACTTTTATTTTCTTTCAGATAAAAGCATTTATAAATCTTGAGGCTGCTGGTGCCGGAGGGAAGGAATTTTTATTCCAAACTGGACCTGAGAATCCATGGTTAGTCTGGGCTTGGGCCAAACATGCTCCTCATCCTCACGGATCTTCAGTTGGTCAAGATTTGTTTCAAGCTGGAATAATTCCATCTGATACTGACTTTAGGTGAATATCATTCTGTTGCTTAGCATATAATATAATTCTGAATATTTCTGATTATTAAAAATAGTATTCATGTAATTTGTAATTTAAAATTTGTTATCTGGTTCATGCTTGTTTTTCATAATATAGTGAAGCATGCTATGGATGTCAAACTCAGTCCCTTTTTTCCAAATTCTTTGGCCAAATATATTTTACAGATAAAACTGAGGGTGGTTGTGATTTATTTCCTCATTATCTTCGATTCTACTTTAGATATCAGGCAATTTTGCTTGGGTAACGGTTAAAGTAATGACACTAAAATTATCAGTCCTAGTAAGTAGTAATTACGTATTGTTTTTTAAATTTGGATTTCCATCATACACTTTCACGGCAAACAGTAGGGTACAAAAAATGGGAACGCAAATCCGTAGCAGGACCTATTAGACCTGAACAAATGAAGCATAATATAACATAACATAAATGGACTCTAGGTCGACGGAAACTCAATACATATTCTTTAGGTTCTCCCCAATTATTTCTTGTTACGCACAAAGTTTTTTGTTTAGTTTGTTTGTATTAAATTATTTAATTAAAGCATATAACGGCGTCTGTTTTGTGGTTCACATCTTGATTTTCAGGAGAACTCTGATGCGGATTTGATATTTTGAATTACTCATCCCTACTGTTCAACATAGCTGTTTCATTCACAGGAAAAATTATCAGATTTTGCTACTTTTTCAAATATAATCATCCGTCATATTTATTTCTTCGCAAGTTCATGACTTGTAAATCAGTTTTGAGTGTTAATTAGGGCTGTCCAAGCGAACCAAATATTCGAATTTGCGAATCGCTAAAATCAGCTACATAAAGCGAAAATATCCTCACGACCACCCTTTGTTTTGCACATCATTTGTTATTAGTAGGGATGTAAGTTTCGAATATTTTATTTTTGAATCGAATTTCGAATCGGAATGTTTCGATTATTCGATTTTGAATTTATTTTGGTTTAACAGGATTTTCAGAGATCATGGTCATATTCCCGGAGTTGACTTAGCTTATATCAGAAATGGCTACGTCTATCATACTTATCATGATGTACCGGCCATGATTCAACCTGGGTGTATTCAACGAGCTGGTGAAAACATACATGGAGTTGTTCGGCATTTTGTACAATCTACAGAATCTCTTCTAAAGGATCCTGCAACTTATCGTCATGGAAAAGTTGCGTACTTTGATGTGCTCGGACTGACACTTGTAGTTATACCTCTACGTCTCCTGTCATTCATCAACTATTTTGCAATAGTTTCCGTACTTGCCTATATCGGAAGAAGAATGTTTCATTCACAAGTTACTGGTATTGCATAGCTTTTTTATTTCTCACTCTGTAGTATGTTTGAATATTTATCAGCTGGGAATGGGACTGTGGAGTTGTACTCATGTGTAAGATCCTTTGTTGATCGTATCTCTCATCATCCAATTAATAACAAAAAGTATATGTATGTTTTCTTGTCAATACTGTGCTAAATTCGATGTATGCAAATGTGCTGAAAAACATTAAATATTTTCAAGAATGGAGGATTTTATTTCTGAGTCTAAAGCAAACATTTATAGCTAGGTTATATGATTTTATTATATTCACAGCAGAATATGAAATGGATTGTCAGTTCTTTGCCTAATTTAAGATAATTTTGATGAAACCTATATATATGACAATGATCCCGTCAATAATTCTTTTACCTTTGCCTTGGGGGTTTTAATTTATCCACAACACCAATTTGATTTTTTCTAATTATTCTAATTCAAGTCCTATTTTATCAGGATATTCATCATTTCAATATAGCAGTAAGTTAATCAAGGCTGTTGCTGTCAACATTCTTGGTTACGCATCATGTTTTCTATTCCTGGCTATTCTGGCAGCAGTTTTGACAAAAAACAATCTATCTCTGATGTGGTATTCCCAGCCACCCATCGCATTTGCTCTTTACATTCCAGCTGGATTATTGGGCCTCGTGTCTGTCCATCACATTGCTAAAAAAACTATTTTCAAGGTAAGCTTTGAAATAAAGGAATAAAAACTAGTTCTCAGTTGAATTTAGTTGATGACTTCATCTAAGAAATGATACTGGATGGAATATAAATAAAATCCAGGGTAAATTCTTCAATTTTCTGCCGTGGGAGTGATAATTATTATCCTTCTCATTGTAAAATACTATCTACATCTTACAGCAGTGGGTATTGAACTTTTCAAGCTTCGCCCCATTTTTAGAATTTTTCAAGTCTCGCTCCCTACCTCAAAAATAACTTGCTAACAATAAGCTAAGTCGAAAGTATGTTTTATGCAAAAAAACCTGTTGAAAATACGTGGATGCAACGTAAATATCCAAAATGGGCAAAAAGATCAAACCTAACAAATATTTACATTTTTATTTCGCTTCGCGCCCCATCATTTTAGAATCACTGTCTTACCGTTCTCTACAAATCTGTTTCATTAATTTCTTTCTGGTTTCGTAGAAAGTACATTATATTTCATAGATCCTGGCATATGATATATGTTTTTAACACGATGATTAAATTGATTTATAAATAATGATGATCTAAGCAAACTTTCAACACCCTAATTGTTTCATTTAGAAATAAGGAGTGATTTGGTCTTGCATGTATCAGAATTAAAATGTATAGGCTACTTATTCATATTTATGTTGTGTATGAAATTTTTTTTGCTTTCTGCTATGAATGATAATGTTCAATGAATAGATAAATCAATTTTAGTTCACTTCTGTTCTTTTTTGTGTTTATCCCTTTTCATTTATTTTTCCATCCTGTATCCACTGGTCTTATTTTTACGTTACAGGGTGATGATGCTAGAAAGTTAGAAAGTCTTTTCTTTGATGCGGAATTAATCATGTGGACATCTGTCGTTTTTCAATTGAGGAATATTGGTTCCTCATATTTGTTTGTGATGCAGATACTATTCGCTGTTATGCTCCGTGGATTTCTGGGTAGTAGTGTTTTCAGCAACCAATCAAGTAAGTAACTTATATATATATTTAACAATGACATGTTTTAATGAAGATGTGATATTGATTTTAACATGTTGATGAGATAATTTGTTGGTCCATGGTACATTTGGAAATTTGCCAAAACTTTGAATGAGGTTCAAGCTTTAGACATTATTAAAGTACATGGGCAATCTCACCTTTTGACAGAATATAAATAAAAATATATACATAATATGTATTATACGAATATCGGTTTATTGATTGTGCTAATAAGTTCTTTTGCCGTTCACTTCTTACTAATGTTCCACTTTTTTTATTTTTGTGTCTACTGTATAGTCGACAATTCAAAAACTATTATTAAATAGCAACAACTTAAATGTTTTAACCAATTTAGCTCCATAATATTTTTTTAACAATTTACACAATATAACAGGATCACCAGGAATAAATCGTGTAATATTGTATCTTGGTGTTCTGATTGTTCCTGCTACAATTCTTATCAATAAATTATTACTTGTCGGATCTCTGTTCATGGCATTAGCTGGAAGATCAGGAACAGAGGTTCCTCCCGAAGTTTTCATTGCTATTATTATTGGTTTATCGATTATTGGTGTCTTCTCTTTTCAAGTTTGCACCATCTATCTTGTCAATTCTTTGAAAGGGTGAGTTGTTGTTTAGGTACTCCCGAAGTATGTGAGCCAAGATGGCGGACACCGGAACGTTCAGTATGTGTACCAGGTTAAGATTAGGCCATAATTTCAGGTACAAATACTACGAGAGTCATTTGGCTATTCCATGAACTTGTAATAGAACTGAAATACGAAAAATTGGAATGAAATTATGGCCCTAATCCCTAATCTGATACACATACAACATTCCGGTGTCCGCGCTCTTGGTTCACATACTTAGGGAGTACCGTTGTTTATTGTCATCATTCTAGCGTGGGTCTTTTTTTATATTTCAAAGATAAGTTGTTATTTTTTGTCCAATTTTTAATTGCTATCAATGGGCTTAACAGAGGATGCAGGTATATGTCAACATGGTTACCTATGAAATATGTATGATAAAATTAATTATTAACATGGTATTCTGGATTTTGACATAGTTTTTGTGATTTCTTTAGGTTTTACATATTCATGACGGCTTGTCTATTGACATCAGTTGTCTTGTGTTTCTCAGGATATACTTTTCCATTTGATAATGATCCTATTAGTCCAGCAAACAAAAGATTTTATATGCAGGTGATGACATTATTCATTTTTGTGTAACAATAGTGATGATATATTCTAAAATATATATATTTTTAAATTGCGCTTTCTGTTCAATTCTATAATATTATTTGAAAAAATTATAACAGGTGATAGGCCTGAAAAAATTTTCAAGGAAATTGCAAATTCAGTATTATTTGAATTCATTTGATTTTTACAGCATATTCAACGTGAATTTTATGATATTCATGGTGATATGGTCAGGAATGATTCGGGAATGTTTGTTTGTCACTTGGATTATACAGGTTTAACATATAATATTGGACCTCAGAGTATCATGGATGCTGAAATTCAGCCATGTAAAGGTAGTAACATCTGCAATTTTGTACAATGATTAGATGTGTTTAGTGTCCGAATAATACACGAGATGAGGCCTTTGAAGCTGTTTAATTATTATCGTATGTAAAATTCTTCAGTAATTCCATGGGTATTTCGCGAATAATTTTACCAAATCTGGTATTAAGCTGAATACATACTTCCTATCATTATACTGCGAACAATACATTGAAACCAGCTGTTGTTGGTGATACAGCTTCTCATAACTACAGGAAACGTGCTATAAATAAAATCACAATTTTGATGTTTCTTCTAACTTAATACCTGCACTTTTGTGTTCTGCTGGCTCATTCATATATTTAGCTATCAATTCTAATGTCTAGGAACATACTGCGAATTTCCTCATCTCATGCCAGTCATGAAATTAGTGAAGCGAAATCAGTACATACCTGCTCCACCCCCTCCTACATCTGTGACAACTGAAGTGTATCCATTTGATATTCATTGGAATAGATTGCATGGTCCTGCATCTGATGGAAGTAGGTTCATTGCCTAATTGTAGTTAAAGTATCTTTATAGTTCATACTCAAAAATTGATCGCATTGCCTTGATACAGTCATATTCATATTTTCAAATGAAATTAAGGTTATTGATGTTTTTTCAAACCTCCTATCCACTACCTCATTATGGCCTATTGAAATATTGTAGGCTATCCGGCGCTCCAGAAGTATGTGTACCAAATACCAATATGGAGGTAACTAATTTTGTTCGCCTACTTTACATCAAGTTGTGTAAATGGACGGAAGCCTATGGGTAGGGGGGATATTCACTTGGCTAACACAGACGGATCCCCCACTCGTATTAGAACTAAAAGTAAGAAATATCGGGAAAAAATATGGCCTAACCTGGTACACACACTACGTGAGTACTGCCTATTCTATACCTGTAGAATTCTGTTCCAGTTTCTCCCGTGCATATATCAGTTTTTGCGTTTCGTTTCACATGCTTTTACAACTTTTTCTAGCCTACATAGTAGAGCACACGTTTCGAGTGAAAGGCCCACCCAACATGGCACTTCACATTGCACCAGTATATCCTGGATCTTTGAGGAATTGGTCGTTTCATCAAGATTTGAACGAAGCAAAGAGCAAACATTCTCACAATGGTTTGTATTGTTGTATTTAGACCAAGTATGGGAATCTGTGTCATGTGATGCTAATCATTCGTTGCATCATTACAATATGTGCAAACTGCAAAGCAATATTTGGTTGTTTTTAAGGGACATGTTTTAGCAATAATATTGCTGGAATTACCATTGGTTTCCACTTCATACATGCGAACCCACTCATGTCAAAGTGTCATCTCCAAACTTTAATATATGTGTACCAAGTTGGCTGCGTGAATGCGCAACCAGTTGGGGCATTACGTTTGTTGATTGAGATTGGCGAAATATTTTCAAAACCACCATTGATAGAAGTAAATAATTTAAAATTAAAATATTATGTACCTACCGCCTTTCAGGATTCCAATGCAATTTTCTGTTTCTGCAGAATCGTTCTTCGTACTATATGGTGGTGGAATTGAGCATCCAGTATGGAATTTTACCCTTATGTTTGCTACACCAGAGCGAATTGATGGACCTTTAGTTGAAATTGCTTTTACTGCTCATTATAAGCCTTCTGGAGCAGTCTCGAAGGTCAATAAGCAAACACCGGAACTCGAAGAGTTAACATCTCAACTCAAAGATTGGGTTGCTCCAATGACATGGGTTTCTCTCTACAAAAATTATATGATTTGGTGATGTAGCGGTTATATTCATGAATGGATGAATGATATGTCGATTTTAATCTTCTACATATCGCATATAACATCACTATTAACATATGCCAGCATATATATAATTAATCTAATCTAAAATATTTTATACTGGATTTCGTGACTTCAAATCCAGCATTAGGAATTTGAAGAACAATCTTGTATATCAACAGGTGGTTTGTGAATAGGTGCTGGGTAGGTCGTCGATTTTTGGTGCCTTCAAAGCTATTTTTGCTAGAATACATGCTGATATGCATACTGAGTTCATTGAATTTTTCTAATTGTTAGCTTTCTGTGTGCTGAGCAGGTGCTTTTATTTATGTGGCATAACGTGAAGTTTATTTTAGTAACATAACAGATTTGAATATTTTAGATGACATTTACATAGACTGGTTGTTGGTCAGCCTCGTTGAGGCTTTGCTTGCGCCATTCAAATAACTAAAATCTTATGTATCAATGTACAATTCCAGTCTTATGATTGTATAGTTTCTAACCTTCTCTTTTTAGTTGAATGGCAAATGGTGAGTTTGCACAAACATAAGTGAAATAAAATACCTGTGAAATTGTATTCTGTGTTAGAAGCTAAAATGAGTTTGAGCAACAGATTTGAGTAGCATCTTAATTCGTGAAATAATTATATTTTTTTATTATAATTTATGCACAAAGAAAATGAAATTTTGTTTCCATGTTTAAAGATGGAAATTAATTTTGTCAAAATTTTAGTGTATTTGTTGCATGTTCTATGCATTAGTTAACTTCTGCAAAAATGCACCCATAATACTATTCAACTTGTTCACTAAGTGTGATACAAGGCAATATCGTTCATGGTATTGTTCAACCTTTTTCGTCTCCATCTTTTCTTTTGTAATGTAGAGCATGTTTATCAAATATGCAGTCGTCAAATTAATCAGTACTGGGATAGGTTAGCCAGATACAAAGGTGTCTTGAACATTGAAGTTCCTATATTTTAGTAGAAATTAGCTGTATTTGTTGTTCTTACCAAAATTTTGGCATATAAATAACATAAATTATAAATTGGTAATTTTAAATGATTATGATACCTCAAAGTATGCGTACTACCTTGTCTTGCATAGGCTTTCTAAAAACAGCATTCTTAATGTTTTTATCATTATTGGTAAATATGCCTTAAAATTTGAAATATTTTTCGTTTTGGAATAATGACAGAACTGTTATATTCATAGTGCTTTGTGGAATTTAATAAAGGAAAGTGTGGTTGAGTCTGAATTGCTTTTCAATACTTTTTTTTTCAATCGGTTAATTTGCATATGCCATATTTCTTCAAGTTATTCTGTTTCGAAATTAGATAGTGTGTGGTGATAGTGTTAATCTTGATATGTCTACTTACATTTCAAAAAACTATTTTCAATTTTGACCAATTAAATTTGAATATCGCCACAGTCAAAACTGAAGAAGCTTAATGTCATATTTTTTCGAAATTTGACTTTTTTGGCCTTCTGTTCGTATAGACCTGATGCCATATTTTGGCCTGGGTTTCAAACTTACAAAAATGCGATTTTTTTTTAATTCCTAAATACTACATAGGCTAATTTGTTTATACTGTGGCGCAAATACATCTTGTATTAGAAAATGTATGTTCTTCGATTTAGTATAGCTAGTTTTGACTACTTTTTTGTTCCAAGTGTGTGGGAGTTTTCCAGTGTGTAACAATTATTTAATATATCATGTGGTCAAACGTTTGGTGTTGTTCTTTGCTCCCATGAAAATCGGTGAACGCGTTTGCAGTTCGTTGTTGATATCGGTGACAGAATAAAAACAATAACTTTTTATAGGTTTAGGCTGTTGATGGGCGCCAGATGCTTCCAGTCACCTCTTTGCTCCTGTTTTTTTTTTTTACTGGCCTTAGCTGCTGCATTGGTTTCTTTCACATTCACTTCCCCTTCATGGCGGAGGAAGTTGCTAACTTACGCTCAGCACGATGTGTCTAAAACTTTTATACGCGACTGGGGTACCGATTTATATGGGATAATACCTTTTAAGGGTATGTCATGAGATGGGACCGTGAGATTGCGACAAGTACATTCACTTGTATGTATATTTCATTACTCTTGGGTTGTCTGTGTAGTTCGTTTATTCTTTTCGTGCGAACTCTTGCATGCTCCCGGCGTGGATTCCTTCTGTAACGAAACCGTTCATGATACTAGCATTCTCATCTTGAATTAAATAGGCCAAGATTGAACAAAAGAGTGGTTTTTGTGACGGAAATCACAACCAGCGATATCACCGGTTGGCGTGGCTTTTCCCAAATATATATATATATACATAAACGCATGTATTAGCTATTCAGCGGTTATCAATCCTTTACTGGCCGCGTACCACCGACAAAACCTTTTTGTAGTGGGGAACAATGGCACAAGAAACGCGGTATTGTAGTATTTAAGTTGCGCTGCATCCATTTTAGATCTTCGTGCAAAGTTTCAACGTATTTATTATTTTATGCAGTAACAACGTATTAATTGCGCGCAAAAGCACGAGAGAATTTGCGCTGATTGCCGTCAGGGCTGAAAGCAGGGGCGTGCCAAACTCTCCTGCTGCCCCATATATCTAACTTCAAAAATAATTCGTGGAATGAACAATTTATAGACGTTGTTATGCATGAGAATAAATGTAAACGTTTGTTTTATCAAATAAATCATCAACCTAAGAAACAAACTCATATTTACAAGATCGAACACATTTATTAGCATAGGCATGTCCATTCGCTACAAATGTCTGAACAACGAGCTCTTTCACCTCGTTAGTCAGGAATTCCTTTTCGATGCTGATCAAAAATAAACTTGACAGTCCCTGATTTCACATCGAAGACATTAAATATGTTTTTATCTGTTTTAACTTTAAGAAAGATCGTTCGCAACTAGCAATTGAATAGCCAATTATGAATAATAAAGAATATGCAATGCACAATGTATGAAAAACATTCCAGTCGAGCCCAATAAACAAAGCAATAAAATCTTCAACACTTTTTGAAAAATATCCGTTTCCATGTCGAAAAAGCGACGCATCAGTAGACATTTTAGCAGCCACACAGACAGATTTTCTCGCATGATTGTAAACATTTCACCTTTTTGCGTGCTATTTGTCAGTTTTTGGTTATGTTTCGGAAATTTCGGTGCGGATCAAATATTTCAACGATTATTCTGTCTACTTATAGTGTAATCGCTACTAATCAAAAATTGGACTGGAAATAACTGTGAAAAACTAGGCTAAACTTTTTTACTGATACTTTCAAATATCAGGTTTACATATTTTGAATTAGAATGATCGTTTGAAACATATAAACCAGTTCAAGGCACTAACTCGCGAAACCACACTGAAAATGAGCATCAGAAATGTTGCAATCGTGGCATATGGGAGTTTTTCTGGGCTCAATAGTCAGGGAAACATCCATTGTTGACTCACCATCACCACAGTTAGTCACAAAAGTCTAAACACCTAATGTCAGCTTCTAATTAAATAAAAACACGTCGAGAAAAACATGTGTACACGCAAACTAAAGTTCCGTTCTGCTGCCCCTATACGTGCTGCCCGGGGCGACTGCCCCCCCCCCCCCCCACCCCTCTAGGCACGCCACTGGCTGAAAGGATTTGTCCATCGTATCGTTTCGTTTTAGGTGTGCAGTAGCGGGCGAGGGCGCTCTCAAGACAGGAACTGCTGCTAGCGCTATAAAGCAGTTGTCGCCATATTTTAGCCAACTCAAAAGTTAATTGTTGCAATAATGCTCGCGTACCACTTGAAAAGCTTCCGCGTACCACTAGTGATACGCATACCTAAGGTTGAGAATCACTGATGTAATTTATCCAACTCTGATTAGAAGTGCGAAGTATTGCAGAATATTTGCTTTTACATTCGCGGTTGATTCTGTAGTTAGGATTACGTTTATACAAAAAAAATATATATATAAAGGAGTAGAAAGATCGACTTTCATTGTCTGGTTCTTGACTTGATGAAGTATGGAGAAGACCAAAGTAGACAGATTGCATGAATGTAATTTCTGTGGTAAAGTGTTTAAACAGAAAGGCAACCTAAAGCGACACGAAATAACACATACTGGTGAACGCCCACATAAATGTGTAATTCGTGACAAGAGATATACCCGCAAAGAGCATTTTCAAGAACATTTAGGATCACATTTTCCCAAGCAGCCAGGAAAGATTCTTTGCAATCATATGAAAAGTCATTCAAAAAAATTCGAGTGTGAAATATGTCAACGGGAATTTGGACGCAAATCTCATTTGACCACACATTCTATCACGCATACAAACGAAAAGAGATTTCACTGCAGGATTTGCGAAACGAAGTTCAAGCTAAAAGGAAATTTGGACATGCATATGAGAAGGCACACAAAGGCATATCAGTTTAAATGTGAAATATGCGGTGTTGGTAAAGTGGTACAATCTCAGCTGGATATACATATGCGTAAACATACGGGTGAAAAACCGTTCAGTTGCAGCATTTGTGATAAGGCATTTGCTACAAAGGGACATTTGAATTTGCATTTGAAAAAACACGCAAATGAATACAGAATCAAATGTGAGATATGTGGTGTTGGAAAAGTACTAAAATCTGAGCTGGATAAGCATATGAGTAAACATTCCAATGAAAAACCTTTCGGTTGCAAGATTTGTGGGAGGTCGTTCAAACATCAAAGTAATCTAAGGACACATCTAGAAGCAGTTCATTTCAATGACAAGCGCTATGAATGTGAGATATGTGAAAAGAGGTTTGCCACACGAGGATATTTGGGAAAACATATCAAAACACACGCTTATTGAGTATTCCAACGCAGGGAACGATACAACTCAACGTCACATTACAATTGCTGTGTTAAGAGAATCAAGGCTTCGCATAGTCAATAGGGATTTAACACAAACAGCAGATTATAAATAATGCATGTCCTACCTTGTTTTTCTAATTAACAAGACATTGAATCGTTTCAGCTTGTTCATTGCATATGCTTTTTACTTACTATCAATATTGTGAGTTAGGACTTGACCTAAGTTTTTTGTGCGATAACTTATGTGACTTTCAAACTATTCGAAAAATATTACACGTTCTGTTTCGATATAAATCAAGTTCAGAAATGATAGCTGAATAATAGGTAATCCATAGTTAAATTTATTGAGTGAATTCTGCCGGGCTTCGTCTTTAGTGAGTGCATGCACAACTAGTAGGTGCAAAGTATGTATACTTTCGTATTACGTTCCGAATGTTTCCATCACGCAGAATTTGAATGTACTTTCTAATATATGAATGAAAATGATAAGTATTCGCCAATACTTATGTACGGATTACCGGTGTCTCTTGCAAGTTTTTACACACTTTGTAAAAATAAGCGCGCGGATTACAAAGGTTAAATTGGCGTACAGCTTTCACAGTATAATTCGATTATTCTAATATTGTGTAATAGTTTTTCTTGAGACTATTCACACTGTTGTTCCGAGAAAGGTTCTGAGCGGCTGTTATGTATATTGAGGACCCCTGACATTAAAAATGCATTAGATTCAAGATGCTCATGAATAAATATATACTGGTACATTGAATGTATTTTCGACTGATACAATCGAGTAACTTGTAATGTCATTGAGGAATTTGAGATAATGACACTAAAGTAGGATAAATTCAGAGTATTACTGAGCAAGAAGACATGTCGCACCAACTATAACAGTAAAACCAACTCCGTATAACTCCCGATATTTGCAGATTACAAAAACAAAATAGAATGAGCAATCATTTGAGAGGGAAGGACCTACAATCGGTCCTAGCACTTGAAAGCATGTTGACAAATGACAGTAAGATCTGAAGATTTTAAATTTACTCTCTAAAAGCTCTAATGAGTAGATGTAGTAGAGAATCACTTTGTATGAATATGTCAGAATATTTTTCATAACTTACCTATTACGTACATTACGCCTGTTCTATCGGTTTACATTTCGATTATTTGCGTTGATTAACCATACGCGATATTCCTTCATCCTTGGATAGTGTGCGGCCGAGTATATTACATTTTCAACCACAACCACATCAAGAACTGGGAAAGTGATTTTTGAGAATCTCGGACAATTTGCTCATGATTTACCCCAGAGGTTCCCAATTTTTTGTACCCTCGCCTCCTTACAGTACTTTTTACGTTTCCACCGCCTACTTGGCATTACATTAAAACATGAAGGTATAATCAAATTTATTACAAATCAATTCGACAAATAAACTAATCATAGTACATGATGTTTTTGATAGATTGAAGAGTTGCAATTGCAACAAATTTTTTTATAATTATTTAAAAATCTTTTAGTCTCGAGTAGAATTTCAAATCTTCGTCATTTTTTAACTTTACGACATTTCTACCAAAAAATATGTTAGAAATGAAAGAATCAACAGTTCTATTTTGTCGAAAATGCCAGATAACTTGCATTAAATTAGATTTAACAAAATTTGACTTATCGAAAATGCGTAATCGCCTTCGGATTTTTCACCCCCTGTTTTATCTCTTTCGATCCACAAAGATCGTGAAATCCTCCCATTCTAAAACAAACACATTATATATATATATTATATAGTAAACAAAAAAAAAATGCAGGAAAATAGTAGCTCCCTATTAGGTCAAAATAATACCTTGCTAGAAACCTAAGACCATACATGTGAGATCATCATGTGCTGAATACATGCTGTGGGGAGTCAAAGGTTTTGAGTTTTCTCTATTTTGAAAATACATGATTTGTATCACCAATCCTAAAATGTCAAAACTGCCTGTAATACGAACTCAAAACAAATATCAGTCACTGGGAGACAGAAATCTTATTGGCCCACAGGTTCATCATTGTTGTTTTGTTCTAAATTCTCGTAATATTCTACAGCATGTGATACGACTTTCTGCTGTATTACTGATGTACCCGTTATACGACCAGTAAGCGACGTTGTTGCTGTGTTAGATACTGCTGAAGTGGGCTGTTTCTTTGTTTCCCTTTTGCCCAGCATTTCCCTCAATTTTCCAACCCACATATCTCGAACATCTTTGCGTTTAACACATAGAAGTAAGAAAATGACCAGGCCCTTTAAAATAGAGGTAACGAAAAAAAAATAAGTTTCTGTGTTATGATTACTCTAAAACAGTAAGGAGGGTTAATTGAAAAATGTTGTTAACCAAGAAATGAATTTGCAGAAGGGCGCAAAAATAAAAAATAAATTATATTTTTGGAGTAAATACCCATTGTACTATTGACAATTTAACAATTTAAAAACGTCTTGAATTTCTCGTATTCATTAACTGTGCCATCTTTCACAATATATAGTTTACAAATAGGATAAACAAAAATAGTTCTTAAAATTAAAATCCAATGGCCTCCTAAACACCCATGTACATGGTGCCACAGTAAAATAGGATCATGATAAAAAAAAATTCAGCAAATAATGAGGTATTGAATCAAATCGTGTATCACGAAACAGTCACTGGTCACCTGAAAGGCATTGAAGATATTGAAAAGCCATCCAAAAATTCCGTTAACGATTTCATCGTGGGTCAATGTCAGTGGAATCGCAAATACCCAAGTTACTCCAAGAAGTACACCAACCATCACCGTTCGAAAAATATGCTCTGAAACCTCGGTTTTCTTTGAGCGGACCTTGAATGGTAAATAAGTTTTCATTTTATTCATTAATTTAATCGTTAGTGCGAATAAGTTACTGCAAATGGTGGCTTCCTAGAACAAAATTCAAATGATAATCAATGATTTTTATGTAAATGCCTTCATATATTTTACAAGTCGTAAAGCTAAGCATACTTGTTGTGTTAAGTTTTTATATGAAAATATTGTGGAGTGAAAATGAACCATCAGAGTAGAAAAATAACATCTGATAAGCAAGGTCTGATGGGAATATGATAAATAAAGTAAGCGCCCAGCTATATGCTGAATCGAATCATATTTCATACCTTGGATCCGCTCATTGCGATTTTCCGCGCAATAGCAACACACCCAATCATATTGATTACCAAAACTATTCCGATAGGTGTAAGAAATCCAAAGAACAAAGAATAGCCATGTAACCAGCACAGAGTATCTCCGATGTATTCTGAAGGCCTGAATCTTGTTCCTATAATACACAGGAAACATAACAGATTAGCAACGAAAACGAACTAAAGGAAAGCACTAGTTGCTGATTTTACTAAGCAATGGTAATGAGAATATAAATCTAATCCCGAATACGACATTTTTTATGTGAATTTAATAATTAATTACATGGATCTCTGGGATATGTGCGAGAAACAGACTTTTTAATATTATTTAAGCGCAGTTCGGAAGCCAATTATGCCCGCCTCTTTTTTCGTTCTGATTCTTAACAATCCCCTGCTATTCAAATTTGATAAAATATGTACCATTACATTGCGGAGTTAAATCCATTCAATATATTCTAAGAGGCATTCCGGCGGCAAAAATTGGTATTGTAAGATGCAGTGTGTTGATATCGCTTGCATTTCCAAGAAGATATTTGCTTATGAATTTGGATCCAGGTGCCGAGGAATAGTAAAATCTGACCTCCACTAATATAATGTCATAAGACTATTTTCACAATAATTGCATAAAATATTCTTGAAACCTCACCATTTTCTTGTACTAATTTCCATTGATCCCAGCGATTTTTGTCTTTCATAGATATAACCCCAGCATTAATGGAAGCTGCAGCTGCGCATACAACGTAGATTACTACAGCAAATTTCAGAGTATACTTTGGTCCACACTTGGAGTTCATGGTAAAGAATTTCCTGAGTGATATTAGAAATAGCGATTAAAATTGTAATGCGTATAATATTCCGAACCGCCTTAATAGTAAGAAAATATATGATAATGAATTAGGTACTCCAGAGATATTTGCACCAAGATGGTGGACACCGGAACGTATGGTATGTGTATCAGGTTAGGGTTAGGCTGTAATTTCAGATACAAATAATACGGGAGTCACTTGGCTAGTCCCTGAACTCGTAATAGAACAAAATAATGTAAATAGGAATAAAATTATGGTCTAACCTGAAACACAGACTACGTTCCGGTGTACGCCATCTTGGTGCACATACTTCTTGAGCACCATGAATTATACTTTGAATTGGCTTACAAATGAGTCAAAAAGTATAGTTGCAAGAATTAAAAAATTTCGAAGCTATTATAATTGTTTCGAGGTTCTAATATCACTCACTTGCACATTGTAATATTTTCAGCAAGCATCCAACCCCACACGGAGAGAAGCGTAAACTGAAGAAATGCAGCCACGGACATGCATGCAATATAATTTTTATTTCTCTCAATTCCAACCAGAAAAGTAATATACATTGCTAAAAGACAGAATCCCATATGCATGTGTATTTGATTTATTTGTCCTGAACGCAAGTCTCTGCAAAATTAAAATTTGCGTATCGTGTTTAATTGAACATGCAACATACACAATGTGGATCAATGAGTTCAAAACAAAATAGAATTTCTATAACACATCAAATTTCAAACGTTTAATTGATCAAATATGGTAAACATATATCAAGGAAGAGGATAATCGAATAAAATGTGGACATCGGAATAACAGCATATGAACATTACGAAACAGCATTGCTGCCGAAAATGTGAAAATAAACGTTTAATTATTTAGTCATCAAATTAACGTATTTATTTTTAGATGTGCGTATAGTAATCGATGATGTGTCATTGTATAAATGCACCAAAATTACCTCAAAAATGAGGAAATAAAATCGCTTTATATCGGAATTTAATTATTATTATTGTTCCATCTGCTATATGCTCATAAATTTTCATTTGGCGTATATTTGTAGCCTTCGTGTACGGCACATGCAATGCATATAGCTAACGAAACATTCTTTCTGCGCACACACTTCAGATATATTAGCATTATTATGCTCAGATTTGTAAATGCAGGTATCTTACCTGAATAATCCATAAATTAGAAGCATAAAGAACAGACCAACAATAGATGAAACGCATCCTATATATCCAACAATTTGTAGTTCGAATGCAACTGGTACTTTGTATGTTTGCTGAAAATATAATTAAGGTGCATTCATTTACAACTAGGAGAAATTAAATATCCTTCATGTTTAATGTATATAAACAAACATATTACCACAAGAACCGCAAAACTTGTAGCGTGATCGCAAAAGCACCTCGTCACTCTGTCTTCGTTTAATTCTATTCTACATCCATACGTTTCCCATTCATTAGTACTCGTGTTTAGATAAGCACATTTTTCAAAGTGAATAACCTATATTGAAATAAAAAAATAATATGAGGAGAGAAAGATAAATAGAGTGAGTTGAATCTTAGTTGAAATGTAAGAAATAAAATGAAATTCAGCAATTATGAATCATATTTGTCTATAACGATACTTAGACGACACAATATCAAGTATGAGCAGAAAACTATAAATTTATTGTACTTACTTTAGCCTTTTTAAAATCTGGGAACTTCTCAATAATATCCTCTTCATACCCGAATCCCAATTTGATTGACTCAGTAAGATTTGTCAAAGTTATCCCAGCAACTTTCACACTGAGAACCTGTAGAATATTGATAACGAGGTGTTACAGACAAAGTTTCTTTGTTTTATTTTGTATATATTTGACCCGGGGTTATCTCGAGATATATTGGTCATTGCACTTTGTCGAATGACCGTTCACGAAATTACTCCCTTCAAAGCGATTTCACCATCTGTTGGTGGGCAGGAATGAGCATGTTGGCGTAAACAAAGTCTGTTATCGGTCTTTTCCTCTTCTCTCGTTTTTGTTTGCTTATTATTTCGAATCATTGCCATTCGGCTGTTTACAATTTATTTCGTGTTAGGAGTTTGCCGTTTAAGTAGTGCTAATTTATTTGTCGCAATGAGCACATTTGTTTGCTTGTTTCTCAGTTTAATAACAGGGTTTGATTCATTTTGCATACCTTGTATTTTAATGTTGCTATTGTTTGCATAATCTAGAATTAAGTATGTAGTTAACCTGCCTGTTGGGTTGGTCGTAAACTTTAGCAACCCTCAACAATTGATCATTCGACCTCAACACCTCTACAATTGATCATTCGTATTCTACAATGATCATTTCGACCTCAACACCTCAACAATTGATCATTCGTATTCTACAATGATCATAGTTGATCGTTGCGTCTCGACAATGATCATTTGATCTCAATAGTATTGTAATCAATTAAATATTTGGACCTCTACATTCTACAATCTACAATACTGTGATCATTTGTGTTTCTACAATACTGGAATCATTTTGGGTTTTATCACCACACAATTTCGTATTTCACGTGACTGCAATAGATTTCAATCATATTCAAATTGTGGAGTTGTTAACATCGAGAAACCTGGCAGGTTATACATAAAAGGAAGTTAATAGCGCGAAGTGTCACCAGTTATAGGCTTCTTGTAGAGCCTCATCATAAGTACTAAGTCGCTTTTAATCTACACGAGGGTTATTTGCAGTAAAATATTGAAATGCTAGAAATAATAAGATGAATTATGCTCTTTTCAAAGATTGTATTTATATTGATGGTTGCTAATTAAAGTGTATCTAAAAATAGCATTATTTATACTTTTTATTATATAAATTTAGACTTCTAACTAGCCTTCGAAATTTTGGTGTTTTCCACTTTTGGATTCGGATACAATGCTGAATCTCTGTGCAAATAAAATGACGCAACTTTATTTGAAATGGTGTTGTTGTCTGTGGCATTTGTAAACGCAGATGCTGGAATTTCGGCTGTAACTAACTGTGACTTAGTAACGTTAGTATGCTGAAAAGTTACGTTTTGAATATTTGTTCCATTTACTTCTGTTGCCTGTAAAATCAGAGCAAATAATTAATAACAGCTATTTATCAAGAAACTTTTGTTTCCACGACAACGAATAATGAATGGTAAATAATTTCATAACATTCTAGTTTAGACTTATCATTTGTATTTTTGTAATTTTCATACTTGAAAACTCAAGGTGCAGGTTTTAAGCTTACAGCCTGGCTTGAATAGGTTAGAACATTATAGTTGTTGCTCGATAATAACTCCACAATTAAATCATTTTAATACGGTGGATATTCAATAATTAATTTTTCTTCGACATTCTGTGCAAACTCATTATTAGAGAGAGATATATAATAAAAGTATTAAACTAGCCTCACTATGATTTTTTGCGCATTTATCGTAGTTAGTTTTACAGAGATATCTTGAAACTTCATTTGAAAATATAGCGACCGTCGAATTTTTAGTTTAAAGTATCAAATTGTAAACTAATCAAGGCAAACCTCGAACACAGAAGAATAAGTTTCGACAATCATTTTTCCTTCTTCAGAATCTACATTTAAATTATTCGAAAAGTCCTCAACCGCTGTTGTAAACACTGTTATCGTACTATCGTTTGGCTTGTTCGATTTTCCATCAAGTTCGGCTGTGACTGCAGTATGAAACTGATCAGTTGACCACACCAAGAATGTCATTCCAGATTTTTCTACCTAAAATACGGATTTAAATTTACTTTCATAACAAAATCAATGAAGTAACAAACGGAAATAGAGAATTTGTTGTTGGATCAAAAATGATAAGACGTACTGACAGACAATATAGAAACTTGCCGTTGCGTCGCCTTGACTGACTCCTTTCTGTAAATTACTGACGATATCTACAACCATTTGAATATCAGTTTCATTTTCTTGGTTGGATGTAGACATATTTGCAGATATTGCACTCAAATCGCCCAAAATAGCTTTTGCTTTGTTAGTTTTAATTTCGGCACTAGCCACCTGAAAACAGCAATCATCGTCATTATACGTAAATATTTATTAATTTGCTAATATGAGATTTCAGTATAGCCTATTTACATACCTCCTCCAAGAGAGAATTGAATGTAGAATTGCAATTAAATTCCACGTATGTTGAGTAATCAAAATCAATGTCAACGCCATCCGATATAATTGTCGATTTGCATTCTATCGATGAAGCCAGTTCTGAAATAAATATTTGAAATGAGAAATATTTGTCCACATGAATTCAGAATTTATTTATAGCTATTCGGTTGCTTCATTAGTCGTCTATTTAATAAATCTATTGGTATTATTATACTATTTTCACAGGAATATTATATCGAGGTAAACAAGATTTAGGCCATCACTTCAGCATCTGCATATGATGCGTCCTGGTCCTCATACGAACCGTGTCACTACGTACTGTCGTTGCCTTTGCAAATATAGATAAATGATTTTGTGGTTACGATATACGATTATACATGTCAACCTTTACAAAAATATTTTTCTACGCATAAAGTAATCATTTGACTTTCCACAGCGATTTGTGGCAGAATATTAGGACTTCTCGGTTACCACAATTAACAAATCAGAACCTGAATTAACGATATTTGGGTTAATCTAATAAATCTAATAATGAGGCAGTATTCAATCAGGATCAGAATATTTCTAATCTTTTTAGTCTGGAAAACTGTGGAACACGCCCAGAAATCTGAAAAGGGGGTTCGTACAAGAGTGGCTTGACATATTAGACAAGTTGGGAGACAATCCAAAATAACACAATGTCAACCCAATACTGCTGTGTGGACTGATGGGATCAGGTAATGCAAAATGAGTAATAAATTTATCGATACCAGCCTGCAATCAATGTGCTAAAAATAAAAATTTGGGTGAATCATATAACAATATGTTAATAGTATGTTAATGTATTATACATCAATTAGAATATTTCTTGAATACATAGGCGTAGCAAGGGGTAGGGGTTAGGTACCTGAGGGGCCATGTCCCCCCCCCCCCTCCATAAATTCATACGACTTTTTCAATTTGGTCTGTTCTTGAACGATTTAACGAAAACCGGGCGGTCCTGGCTTGCTATCAATAATCCTTTAACCAGATGGACCAAACGAGATAGATGAAAATGCGCGCTTCGTCGCTCTGTTTGTAGAGCGAATCTTATTACTTATCGATCTTAAGATCGGTAAGTATGTTGATAGGTAATTGTCTGTTTGTTTGTTTGGTTGTTTGTTTGTTTGTTTGTTTGTTTGTTTGTTTGTTTGTTTGTTTGTTTGTTTGTTTGTTTGTTTGTTTGTTTGTTTGTTTGTTTGTTTGTTTGTTTGTCTGTTAGATACAGGCGATATCTCACGAAAGCGAAAATGAATCCGCTCCAAATTTTGCATATGCATTCATCATATCTCGGATCAGAAGCCTATTGATTTTGGATGAATTATGTCGTATAATTAGTGATGGGACACAAGATGTCACTATGGAGTAAGAGCGTTGTTTTGGGGGATCCACTTACTTTCGATCGATAAGTATTCGGTCTCTGACTCATATTCTCGTTGGTATTATTGTTAGATATGAGTGGCCACTTTTAACTGGCTTTGCTAGGAACAAAAGGCACGTGTGAGCGTCGTATTAGGTCATTATACAAAAAAAATTTGAGTGCTGTCTTGCTACGCTCTTGCTTGAATACTTGTGCTTGGCATTAATTCTTACCTGAATTATCACACGTCTCATTTGAACGAACATAACGTGAGTTGTTTGCGTCTCTGCATACGAAGTTGTATGTCTCATTTGTTTCATAACTTAGATATTTCAAGTGTGCAATGCCGGGTCCAACGCTGATCGAATCTGATGAGCATTATAATTTTAGTTGAATTTGTGGCATTGAAAACATTCAGACTTATAGAACCAAATAATTTTAAATCAAATAATTTAATTTTTTGTTTAAAATTTTGTTTGCCAACATTGAGGCATTCATCTCGTCATAGAAGTCTAATCGTCAGCTGTATGATCTAATAAGAAAAATCGAGGCTACCATTAATAAATGTTGTTGTGATCAGTAAAAAGCTTGTACCTGTACATACAATTTTTGCCCACTGCTTGTTAGTACAGTCGCTTGACGTAGTGAGTTTTCCGTGCGTGCAGTTTCTAAGATGATTTTCTTTCCCTGTACATGATATGTTGTCCAAGAATACGGATGAATTTGGTTGAGTAGCTGCCACTGGTAGTAAGGACACTCTGTAATAACCAAGTTGACGACAAACCACTTCCTTATTTAACATCCCCCAATCATTGTCGCACACCAATCCCCATTCCCCTTCCGACAGTATTTCCACAAATCCCTGATTTCTTGATCGACCTCCTCTGAGGCGCACTGCCTCAATCTCTGTGAAATAGAAAATAAGCAATAAATCGTAATTCAATTTTTTTGAGTGTATCCAACTGTAGAAATAAATATAGTAAAAATGTTTTAATGAATACTTACCGGAACAAACAATAGTCACATTTTCTTTGTTTTCGCTACAATTAGAAAACCCAATTGATTGATGTTGACAATCCCTCAAATTTGTTTCGTTTCCAGCGCATTCTAAGTTATCTAAGAAACCCGGAGATGCAGGTTGATCTACTGTAATAGCGTGGATGAATGCAATTCTCTCGTATCCGAGGTGTCGACAAACAGCTTTTGTTTCTTTTGCACTCCACTTCTTGCTGCAAATTTTCCCCCATTCTCCAGCAGATTGAACTTCAACGTATCCTTGATTGATTTTGTCTCCTCCAGACAATCGCACGTTTTCAATTTCTAGAATAGAAAAAAAATCAGTCGACCCTATGCCCACGAAAAAAATTGGCGATGTGTTTTTACACTTCGCAATGTAACGACAGTCATAGGAATCAGTTGGAATTTTAGCTAATTTCTAACTGAAGTCAAAAAAAGACAACCAATACTTTAATGCCCTTCAAATATGCAACTGAGTCGTATGCTCAAGGGTTTCGAATTCCGGCGAAGATAATTGACTTGTGTGGTTCATATAAGATTACCCATTTAGTGAGTAGAATGTTTCTAACAAGCAGAAATTTTTTCTACGTCATTATCATATTATGTCGCAATCGCATCAATTTTGTGCTACAAAATATTGAAAAAAGTTATTGAAATATTTTTATATTTATATTAAATACCCACCCGAACATACAATAGTTACATTTTCCTTGTTCGTGCAGTTGGATTCGCCAAGTAATCCATGATTACAAAATCTAAGTTCCGTTTCGTCACCGGCACATGTAATGTTGTTTAAAAAAATAGGTAATATTGATTTTGTCAGTATTTTTGCTTTAAGAGACTTCCCAATTCGCTGAAATCCGACCTGGCGACAAACTGCTTCTGTTTCATTGTCTCCCCAGTTTGCGGAACAAAGTTGTCCCCATTTGCCCTCTGATTTAACCTCAACATAACCCTGGTTTGGTTTGTATCCGCCAGACAAACGAACATCCTCTATTTCTAAAATTTAAAAACGTGTTACTATTAAACATAGCAATCTTTTAAAACGATATGACTATAACATGATGCAATGCTTTCACATCCGTAGGCTTTCCACATCCGTGAATTCTTCAGGAGAATATTATTGCACGATTTTACATTTTTAGGAAAAAAACTCCATACGTATAACCTTGCAACATTCTGTCATGTGCAATAGCCAGAATTCACACTGATATTCTCGTTTATTTTTTCACCAGCTTTTTCCGCTGGGATTTGGATTTGCGTGTTGTGTTGTTGTTATTATTTAACGCTGAACGATAGGATTAGAAAGGCAAATGATTCATTCCTAACTTCCTGTATTCTATAACGTTAAATCAGCTAAAACGTATTCTATTATGTCATTCAGCTAAAACTATAATACCTCACCTGAGCAAAACACCTTGACTATTGCAATCGAGCAACTAGAAGTTTTCGATAAATCTGTGGCACAATCGGTCAGTCTTATCTCCGTACCCACACATTGCAAACCATTGGTATAAACAAAAGGCGTCCCAGGATCGGTTGCATCGACGGAAAGGTTAGCAAATCGATTAAAATTTAGCATGCGACAGACAACTGCACTCTCCTCGATTCCCCAGTCGTCGACGCATATTCTACCCCAACTTCCGCGAGAAAGAATTTCTACAAAACCTTGATTTTCGGTTTTTCCACCAGTTAATCGAATGTCTTAATAAAAACAATTGGAGAAAGTTCACAAAAACTCGGAATTTTTTTTATTTAGGATCGATTTTTTCGGAATATTTTAAACAACAGATGTGCATCCAGTTGTTATGCGTAATCAGAAGTGAAGGTATGTACTGTATCGATCAATGTCACATAAAAACCACACGGATATCTAAAATATTTAAAAAATTAACAAAAACAAAAACATACGCGATTTTATTTGGTAAATTGGTACAATACAAAAGTTTGGCATGTCAACGTTTCACATCAAAAAAATTGATGGAGAAGCCTCTCTATCTCTACCATCTAATTTTCTAGTCGTGTATTCAAAAGTTACTTCTAAATGATTTAACACTAACACAAATATATTACTGTAACGTTTCTGTAACTTCCTCAGACATACATAATTTAACTATAGTCAGAAAATAGTTAGAATAGTTATCTCTAATTTTGCTATAAATAGTTTCCTTTTATTATACGTATACGAATCTACAGGCACATAGAAGAAGGATGAGTAATAGTACCCGCAGCGCATATCTATGGTCTTTCAGGATAAACTATAATCACTTACCCGAAACTTCCAAGTTTGCTCTGGCAATACCTAAAAACAAACGAAAATATTTTTATATTGTAAGTAAGTAATTTCGAGAAAATTGGTCTTATCGCTAATAACCGTGGCCTCCCCTGCGCAGGAGGGCAATAATAGTATTTTGGTAGATTGACGATTGATAAGTTTAGTGAACGAACTTTATCTGAAACAGAGAAAATATGCAGGAGCTCGTACAATACGCCATAGCATACTTGTAATAAAAATTGCTTCAAGCACAAATATGTGATTTTGATAAAACAAAGCATTTTCGATTGTATGACGCTGCATCACTATTAGGACAATAGCACAAAATAATTTGGTTGAAAATATAGCGTGATTTCATATAGGCAGTAAATCGGACTGGTTTGGGTGTAACATTGTTAATTACGATATAAAAAATTAATAATGAGATTACCCATGCAAGTTTTTTATTAACAGAAGCAAAAAAAATTCTTACCGATAAAAATTGAAATTATTAGTATTCTTTCAATCATAATAAAGTTCACATATGAATAACCAAATGATCTACAGATCTACTGCCAGATTTGAATTAAATAACGAATACATTTGAGAATTGATAAAAATAAAAATTCAATCAATGTTAAGAAATGGAAAAAGTAGAGAGAGACATAAAACAGTTTCTGATTCTTGGCGGGTTGAGAGTGAAAACGATATGCAGAAATAGAAACTTATATAAATATCAATGGAGTCAATAAGGTTTGTAGAATTTGCGGAAAGATATCTAATATTTATAGAAAAACCATTTGTTTAGCAAAAATGTGTTGTTTACAATTCATTTTTTACAGTTTTACAATGTGTTGTCTCAAAATGAACATCGGCTTTTATCATTTATTTGTAAATTCTATATATGAATTATTCATGAAGATTCGTTGAATTGTACTGAATTCACCAATCTTTAAAGCTTATCTAAATTAGTCTTCAGGAACTTTTTTTTTTCATTTTTCCCTTTTATCAGAAACATATAAATAGCCAACATCAACGATCTCACTTAAATTTAAGCGCTGTTTCTCTTGAAGTATTCTATTCAAATATTCACATATAAAATGAGATTATTTATTCCTGCCATCTTATATTATATATAATACTCATTTTCCATACACGCTTGCGAGTGTAAACAAGCATTAATAATACTGAAACTGAATCGGGATTGCATGCTCAACCTGCGACAGTACGAACAGTATATGACCGCGATCATCACGTCGTATCCAATAACAACTCTGACTGCAGTTGATGAACAATCTATTTTTAATCGACGTTTTTATATGTTTCAGTGTCATGCTTAGTCATATATTTCCTCTTCCTCGTTTAATTTTTAAATTAAAACTAGAAAACTTTTCTATTTGGGTATTGGATTTAAAGTAATTTTTGATGTTTGATGAAGCATTGCAAGCAAGCATTCAAATTATCGTGGAGTTATCAAATTCAAACAATTCTTCTGTCAAATAGGCATTTTACGCGATACAAAAAGTTTAATTTTTTTTTTCAAATTGCATAAATATTTCTTTCTTATCACTCTCAAAAAATATATTCAAACAGGTTGTCGTATTTCAATAACTACCGCACTTTAATGAAATGTTTTTAAATTTAAGTTTTACGAGTTGTATGGTGGAAATATTAGCTGATTTGACAAAATAGAATACAAAAGATAAAAATGAAGTTAGGAATGAATTAGTTGCCTTTTCAATTCTATCGTCCAACAATGAATATTCAATCACAATACGATTCGAGCAAACCCAAATCACAGTGAAAAAGATGGTGAAAAATAAACGAGAATATCAATGTAATTTCTTGCTAATGCACTTGCCAAAATGTTGCAAGGTTAGAAATTTATATTTAAACGACTTGAAGAAAACATGAGAGATAAAATTGTACTCTTCGTTGACTTCTGGTAAAAATAGTTACACATCAGATCCGCATCGGTTTGCCAAAACCCCAATCGAAAACCTGTTTTTGTGACGTGAATCCCTACCACTGCACCGCTAATATAGACGATACAAGCGTCACAATATTGCGCTTTTTACATATAAGAAGAGGTACCCAACAGAGCGCGTAGAATGTGCTTAATACACAATTGTTCTTGTTTTATTTTTGATAACATAGAAAATAAAACCCCTGGTGTGTCGGTTTCTATTGTTATGCAATAGGTAACATGATTCTTTATTTTAGTTGTGAACAATAGTCAATTAACCAACTTAATCGAATAAAAATATATTTCCGGCACATTAAGTAATTGATTGATTATAGTCTATTATAGGGCAGCATTTTCTCGGGACAACACTATATTAAATTCCCCATCAGTCGAATGCCTCGATATTTCGAACAAACAAAACTTTCATTCATTTTGCAAATCGGTATCTGTGTCATCATATTATACAGCCTCAAAGTAATGGGCAATTGAAATTTTCACAGTATGCCAATATGCTTAAGCAATTAGGTCGAATTTTATTACTTTATAGCCGGATATTAGCTCATCAATTCTTATTATTTTCATTCTCGATTGGAATCTGTGAGGGATACCGGAATATATTAGGTTGTACTGAGGGTTTGAAGAAATGGGATTGTTTTCATTTAATGAAAAAAAACTAGGTAATATCGACACTGCCAGTAGTCATGGTCTATATATTTGCTTATGCTGCCTTGCTCAACTGAAAGATAGTATAAATACAAACACATTTTAAAGAGAATGTTGATGGTTTGGGCTGTAAAGTAGACATTTTGTTACCAGAAATGCTGGAAACGATAGCGGTTTGTTACGGGATTCGACTCGCGCGTCTGTCACTGAATGCTGACTTCGTAACATAAAGTAACATGCAATAAGTCAAAGTTTTGATTGGCTCTTCTATAGAACCGGGTTTATTTTTTAACCTCAAATCTTAGATCATAATTAACCATATATGCAGAATAAGCTCTCTTAGTGAAAACACATGGTGGCCAAGGCCTATAAACAGGTGCTTCAGAATTCGGAACTTGTCAATGAACATGTCTGGCAGTTTGCATTATTGTGCACAAGATCTGTTTATGCAGTCTTGCCATGTTTTGTATATCTTTATGTAGCTAGCACGCGAGGCCCGACAGACACATGCCATTTGCTGAATAATTACTAACGCGATTTGTATTATAAGTTTAATTTGTTTATGATCGCCTAATTTTTTGGCAAAAACTCGACAGAATTTTGATTTTCTGGTCGACTGAAAATTGAGACTGTTATGGTCATCTAAAATCACTTATAGGGCTGTTGAAAAGCGACCCTATTCTATAACGTTTATCTCAATGTCGAAGGATGTCTTGTCGTAATGACTGCCGATAAGAGTTTTAATACCTTGTCATGTATTTCTGATTTTGTGTTGCACTGTTCTTCCAAGTCCAATACTCTTGTTTTTGCTAAACAGCTTGTGTTTCAAACCCGTTTTGCCGGTACTATTCTGTAGGCTTGCTGTTCCGATAATAAAAATATACATTGCAATAGACCTATTTGTATTGACCTAATAGTATTTGGAAATAGCAATTGAAATTACCTCCGTAGTCTATCTATTAATCCACTTTTGATGGCATTCTCGTACATTCACATGAAGATTTTAACCCGTTATAGTTGTATATTCAAAAATCGATTATCGTGCAGATGCAAGACTGCATTGACTGAATAAAAAAAGATGTGAGAAATTAACATGAATCACTGCCCTTTTTCGAGTTGAGGTAGTTGACAATAAGAGCATATATTTTTATATAGGAAAAAATGTGCGTATGTATACAAAATTTAAAATCAAACAAAAGCTCTTAGAGATGATCCAAAGAAAACGAGGTTAATGAGGAAAATAATCAGGCTTGTCCATGGGACATATTTTTTTGTCCCATTTCCATAGCAATTATGCTTGTCCCATCCCATGGGATTCCCATTGGAAAAGAATTCAATAAAAATTGTTAAATTTAGGTTTAGCTTCTACTAAATAGGACTACATGTACGAAGAGACATACAAAACAACAAAATTTACGGACTTCGTTAACTTTATATTCATAACTAGTATACATGTGTCCATCATACCCTTCACGAAGTATATTGTTAAGGCTGAATATATTTTACTCTTTATAGCTAAAAGAGAGATATTCTCAAATATCTGGATAAGAAGTTCATAACAAAATGTTTTACCATCATTTACCCGAAAATCATACGGTTTTCGTGTCCCATGGGAAATATAAATTTGTGCTGTCCCATCCCATTCCATGGGACGTTTCCCATGGGAATCCCATTCTCATGGACAAGCCTGGAAATATTCCTATAAGGGGATCCCTTAGACCAGTTGTTCTCGAAGAGTGCGCGCGGCGAGTTCTAATGTGCGCCGCGAGAATTATTAACAGAATTGTGTTAACCATAACCAAAAAATAATTGAATACTTTGAATATTGTATTCAATATAAATGTTCTATTGTTTCTTATTTAAAATGCCGTGTATAAGAATCAATAAATTCATTTTACCTTTCTATGACGTTTACTTTCTGTTGCGTAGTAACTTCCCCTCTTGTTACGTAACAATAAAGATACTACTTGCTGCGATTTCGTGATCTGCAGTTTATTTATCTGCTGAACCCAGTTTAGGGTATATGAGTGATTTTTTCAGTATCTCGAATAAAAATCAGGCAGAGATGAGAAAGAAGAGTTGAACTTTTTCTTTATTCCTTACAGGACCACATGTTTGCAATCAAAAACTGAGTGTTATTTAGAATTAGCACGAACGAAACGCACGAACAAAACGTTCGGGTACCGCTGTCCTAGACAAAGCAATTAGCCATTAAATGAGAGTGGCATTGTGAGCAACGAGAGTCTAATAGAATATTATCTCATTGCACACTGTAACAGTTGTTGGTGGCGTCAAGAGCAAAAATAATTAAACCTTTTTTTATGTAATATGGGCTTATTAGAATTAGACTCCATTAAAATTTTGTGGTAACCCACCTAGATGAAACGTGCATGAAAGGCTTTTTTGTTCATGATCCATAGATGAACGTTATAAATAAAAGATTTATCAAGCGATGTAAAAAGTTATTTTTCACCAACCAACATGTGCATGAAAAAATGGTTTTGACTTGTGTTGCGCTGCTTTGAATGCAGGCAGGATATAAATGACAAACTACTTCCCTCCAGTAACATTGATGCGCACTAAACTTTTAGACGACATGGACGCCAAGCAAAACAGCGTAGACATTGATCAGGGAATGATACCGAATGGTTATTGTGAGAAAAGAAATTTTTTGAGATTCACAGCAAGTGATGATAGTTATTCAAACAAATTTATGAACTGGTATATTAACCAACAATGGACGTCGATTTGTGCAGTACCTGATGGTATCCTCATTTAAAATATGGTTTGTATTATGTCCACGGTATAATCTAAAACCGCTTGCCCAATTTGTCATGGTAAAACTCATTGAATCAAATACAATGAAATGCAAAAAACTACGCCATTAAGAAAATTCAAAGTAAATGGTGTGATGAAATCTGTCTGGTCAGACGTTATTGAGAACCTTAAATATCAGACATGAATATACTTACGCACAATCCAGATATCGATTCTTACGTTAATAGAGTCCTAAATAAAAGCGCCGACAGTAATTATTAACGTAAAATATTACCGTGTTGCTAATTGAAATTTCAGCGTATGACTAAAAAATATCGCAAAACGAAATATTAATTTTGATTTCATCACTGTTTAAATATTTACCGTATTTACTTTGAAGTTTATCTTTCACAAATAATGCATGCGTCAACCTTTGGAAATATACAGAGGAAATTTGAATTTTTAAGATTCAATTAATAGGTATACAGATTGGTTACAGTTGATTGGTAAATACAAGCTGTTAGCGTCATTTCATTTCCGGATGTCAATGGCAAACCTTCATGAAAGACCTCTTAGATCGCTTCATTCAAGTCGCATGTCAGCAGTGACAATTATTGATAGGTCATATTGACGCATTTGCGAAAAAAATACTACTAAAATGTTATACATATTATTTGGAATAAAACTTAATTCCCTTTTATTAGAGTTCAACATAGAGTGTATCGTATATGCACGTAAGATTGAGTTTATGGAGTGAATGAAGGTTTAAATATTTCAGGTTCACTGCAGATAAGGAAAGTATCCAGATAAAGTGTCCGTATAGATACAGAAACACTCAATCCGAGGCGAATTCTCCTGTGTTTTACTTTAGAATAAATATCATTGGGCATGACTTCGCACCATTTCTTTTTCTAGCAAGATTTATGCACAGTATAACTGAACTCTTCATTACACGATGCAGTCAATGGCATTGATTTCGATGTTGTTCATCTTTTCATTTTTTGGATTCACAAAATTTACTAATGCTGGCTCGAGGTAGGAGCTTTCAAAATTTATTTTATTGAATAGATTGTTTTTATTTTATCTGTAAAAGTCGTTGGTGTCTCACTGCTACAACAGCATTTATGCAAAAAAGGTCTGTCGCAAGCAGCGCAATGTTGCTGTAATAAATATCGTGGATATTTCGATTCTTGATTGGGTTAAATATTACTTTATGAGGAAAATTACATTATGTTAAAAGTATCTATCGACAAATAACAACACGGACCAGGCCAATCAGCATGTCTGTCTGTGGCATACTAATGTTATTAATTTTATGAGTAGCCGTTTATCATTGTTAACGAAGACAATTCAACTTTGGCGCGGTTTTGTTTCATGAAATATATTGTCGCATTGAAATATAAAACTACTATGTAATTTTATAAATATCATCACGCGAAGTATGGTTATGATACTTACATATTCCAGAATAGACATCCCAAGTGGCCAATTGAACGGAAATTGGTTTTCAGATCAGAAACAAATTTCAAGAAGAAATTTTGATAAGCAGGAGAGGGGTAAGAATGAATTTTGATCAATATCAAACCACGAGCAATTTATGGTCATGTACGTTTATAATATCTTGAAATATAGAAAAACTTGAAGATACCTATTTAATTTTAAAGTGTTATTGTCAAAATATACAGCTTGCAAAAAGTGAGGTTGCTTCACAGATTGACGAATCTCACTAAGTATATTGAAATATGATAGTCCGGAAGGAATTAGCTCTAATCTATTCCATGCAGCATAGCCAGGATCGCATTTTAGTAACAGTAATAATTATGCACAGCTGTTCCATACTTTTGATGTAAATTGTGATATACATATTTGAAATTTAATGTAATACATATTATTCCTAGATGTTGAAGTTATATTCGATGATTAACGGTTGCTGGACAATGCTTCAATTCTTGCTGATATATTTCCAATCAAGAAATTTTTGAAGAAAATAACTCAAAACCATTTTCAATTAAGCAAGCTTTTAAGTTTTACCAGTCGACCTTTTAACACAAAATATCATTTATTTTGTTAAAAATTTTTAAAAGCATGCCGTCTTTAATTTTTGTTCAGGTCGCACCGAATGATATTGATTCGGTTCCGTTAGCTTTAAACTACCAATTCCAACTGAAGTTTCATCATTTCATGCCGGTATCTTTTAACTTTAAATTCTTATTTTTGTTTTGGTTGAATAAACGTAAAATAATTTACAGATATTTTTGTTGGTATATATGTGATTCTTGAGGCGTGAGTGTAGGCCCTTTTAAAATGCAAAAAATGATTGAAATGACATACATATTGATTTGATACAAAAACTGTAAATTTATCCCGTACTGATTGATCCACGGGACAATTTAACTTGGTTAAACCAAGATCTCTAACAGCAATAAATTTAACATGTTTCTCAGTTTCATCTAATAATTTCTTGCTTTATTTATAACCTCAACTCTCGCACTTGTTTTGGACTTTTGTAAATGAATTCAAGTGGTATGCAATCTATTACCAGTTCAAACTCGATACAAAGGGAATCTTTCGAATGTCAAAACTATGGCCATCCCTGCTTTCTCCGTCTAGAAATGTCTGGGGTAACTAATTTTGTTCGCCTACTTTACATCAAGTTGTGTAAAAGGGACGAAAGCCAATGGGCAGGGGATATATTCACTTGGCTAACACAAACAGTCCCCGAACTCGTAATATAACCAAAATTAGGAAAATCGGAATAAAATTATGGCCTAACCCTAACCTGGTACACACGATACGGGAGGGGAGTATCAATATGTATCAGTATGGCTAACACAAACAGTCCCCGAACTCGTAATATAACCAAAATTAGGAAAATCGGAATAAAATTATGGCTTAACCCTAACCTGGTACACACGATACGGGAGGGGAGTATCAATTAAACTATTGCGTGCAAAGAAAATTATTTGCTTCTTGTCTATTTGCTCTTATACCAACACACTTTCAACTTCTACTGGACCGGCGTCAATCATAACTTGTTTTTTAGAACTTTTGTCGTAGTTTTCAAATATGCTTGCGTTTGTCAATCTATGCCGCATCGTTTCACGTAAACATTTTTGTTCTCGATCCCATTTTCAGTTTTCTCATTTTCTTGTCCTTTTTCAAATAGTTCTGACAATGTTGCATGGTCGGAAATATATATATCCTGCACACCAAAAAATATTCGTATTTGGATGGTATCTTCAGATTCTCTTTCGTTTTCACTAGATTTAACTTTCCAATCATAGGGACATATTCCGTTGGCTTGTTATAACATGCCCCATAAATTCAGTTTTTGACATTCTAAATTAACACTTTCCTTTATTCAATGTGAGACCCAAATTTTGGAGTCGCATCAGAAGTCTCTTCAATTTTTTATCATGATCGGTTTCTATCACCCGATGAACCACTATAATATCATCTAGAACATTTTAGACTCCACCAAGACCTTGCAATGCTTGTAGCAATATTCATTACCTATTATTGGCTAAATCAGTGGTAAATCGGCTCCCTGTAATATCCATGAAATACTGCTATATTCTATGTCTTATATTTGGTATATGACGCAATAATATGAGGACACCTAGTGATCTAGTTCAGGCCACGTGATAGAACACTTTAAAACTAATCTATGTGAGTGACAGTCGTGTGTTGTATTTCCATTTACTTCCATTCAATATATATTCTGTGAGCAATTGAAACCTGTGTTACTTGTATTCAAGCCCTTGAATATTACATCTGGCGACGAGGATTATTTTTAAGTCTCCAAAATACGTGGAATAGAAATGCTCGTCGGAAAAGTTTGCTCTAAGTGCTACCGTAACGCTACTCATATACGTAGTGTCACCGCTAATTTCAAACGTGAAAAATGGCGTGTGGCGTACAGGACTATCCAATTTTTGATTTCGCTGATTTGTCAAGTTCCGGACCAAGATGGAAGAAATGGCTTGGACGATTTTATAACTTGACCATTGCAATGAATATCAAAGATTCTGACGAAGACAAGGAAAGAAAGAAATCTCTAATGTTGCACTACATGGGTGAGCAATGTTGCGACATTTACTAAACCTTGAAGAAGGAAAATGATACTTGACGTAATATTTTGCCCCTAAAGCCAATAGTGAGTACGAAATTTATCTGTTTCGCAAAACAAAATGATTGTGAGTCACTCGATCAATTTTGTACACGACTTAAGAAAATGGCAGTAACCTGTGAGTTTGATCCTGGAAAAGTGAAATCAAATTCAAATAATTCAGGGATGCAAATCGTCTGAATTATAGAAAAAATCTTTAAGCAAAAAGATGGATTCAAAATCCCCATCCGACACCTGTAAAGCAATGGAACTTGCAAAATCCCACTTGTCTGTGATGGAAGGAAACACTGAAGAAACTGCACAAGAAAAATGCGCATCGGATCAAATCAGTGAACCGAAACAAAACACGCAAGAAAAACAATTACTCAGTAAAAATTTGTTTTTATTGTGGCGGCTCGTTACCACACAAAGGTCAGTGTCCAGCTAAGGGGCGAAAATGTTTCAAGTGCAATTATTGTGGTCATTTTGCAAAGTTTTGTAGGGTGCCAAAACAAAAGGAGTTTTCACACTCTCTTAATAATTTGAAAGTAAGCTCAAGCAACATAATTAAAGTTGAATCTCAAAGTTGTGAAAATTCTGAATACTCAATCAAGGTTGAACAAATTCAGATTTCTAGAAAGCTTCCAACAGTTTGAATTGAATGTTAATGGGGTTAATGCTGTTTTATTGTTGACAGTGGTTCTAGTGTTAATATCCTAGACAACAAAGCGTATCAAGAATACGGAGGAATACTTCCAATGTTGCACTCACTATGTCCTGCTGATACAAAGTTATTTGCTTATGGTAGTGAAAAACCACTGCAGTAAATTGGCAAATTTGTTGCAAACGGGAAGTCAAATGGTGGCCACCAACTGTCAGATGATTTTTTATGTAACAAACATGCACAGGTTGTTTAATGTCTAATGGCACAGCAAAACAACTCGGAATACTGGAGATTATACTATTCGTTGAAAATGAACGAGAAAAGCGTACAAAGGAAATTCTATCAGAGTATGATAGTATATGTCATGGTGTCGGAAAGCTCAAAGGATACCAATTAAAGAGCTGAACATCGATGACTTTGTGGATCCAGTACATCAAAAACGCAGAAGAATAACATTTAAAACCAGAACTTAAGTGGAAAAAGCAATTAAAGGGCTATATGAAAAGGATATCTGTGAAGATGTGGATAATACACCCAACTCCGTGGGTATCTCCTATAGTTGTGGTACCAAAATCCAGTGATCCTGATAATATCCGATTGTGCACGGATATGAGAGCTGCGAATAAAGCCTATCAATGGTGAACTCTCCAATGCCACAATGGATAAACTAATTCACGACTTGAATGGATGCAAGGTATTTTCAAAATTCGATTTAAACCGAGGATATCATCAAATAGAGTTACACCTAGACAGCAAATATATTACAACGTTTAGTACACACCTTGGGATTCATAGACATAATCGTCTCAATTTCGGGGTGAATGCAGCGACTAAAAATTCCAATTCATAATTGAACAAGTTCTTCAAAAGACTAGAAGGCGTGAAGAATATTTCTGATGACATCTATATATTTAGCAAAAATTATGATGATCACGAGAAGCATATCAGAGCATGCTTATACCGAGTCAAAAAAGGGTCTTAAGATGAATAAAAGAAAATGTGAGTTTTTTAAATCATATATGGAGATTCTTCGTGGACATTGTATTGTGACATCCTGTGAAGATGAGAAAGGTCTCCATAGCACATGAGAGTAGTAGTTCCTCATGTAGTTCCTGTGAAGATGACAAATGGTCTTCATAGCACATGAGGGACATCAAGGAGTTGCTGAAAAAAAAGCATTGATTAGAGCAAAATTGTGGTTTCCTAATATTGACTCAATGGTGGAAGACTACATAAAAAATCAGCTGGCAGTGTGGTTCCAATCTTTGACAAAATATTTGCTACACCTGGATTTTGTGAAGTGCTCAAGACAAATATGGAACACTATTTCAAGGACACGGATTTAAAAGATTCATTGACTACTGTGGAATTCATCGTCAGAAAAAACTCCGTTATGGCCAAGAGGAAATGCCCAAGCTGAAAATACCACACAAGATCACAACATTAAAAGATAAAGGCTTAATAGTTGCATTGAAATTACGTTTCTGTCGAACAGCAATTTACCTAACTGTTCTCGAGCAAATTCAAAGCTTCAGATGTTGACGTTTTAATCTTATGTTTGACTACAGAAGTTCGTCCCAGTTTTTCATCAGGACCAGCAAAAATCCTGAAATTCGACAGCAAATCATGAACACTTTGACGTTGTTCCCGTTAAATCTTCTGGATCGTCGACGAGCTTCTTTAAATGTTCAGGTAGTTCCCTGGTGTCCATGACATCACCAGGCACCACTTGTTCCAGAGAAGAGACAGTCAGGTTTTCTCTTGGGCATAGTAAACCGATAGCAAATCCGCAGGTATTTCTACCGCTTCCTTGCTAACATTGACACCATGAGAGGCACTAAGAGCATGAGGCGTCCACCACTCCGGGAATAAAAATAAACCACGATGGCCATACTCGCTCTCAAACACACACGCAGCTCTGCCACAGCTATGACGTCACTATTGGGTCCACGGGCAATTCAAACGACCATAAATCACCATCTCACTCTCTCTGGGAACAGTCACACATTTATCTACAACAATTCTACAACTAGGAACAGACGAAACAGGCTTAGTCAGGGAAACAGTTTTACCATCAACCTCCATTTGACCTACAGACATATGCAAAACACAGTCATGCTCTTGGAAATAATCCATACCAAGCAAACCATAGGGGGCACCAAGATCAGCAACAATCACTCTCTGAACAGCACACACAGAATCAATACAAATTTTCAAATCAATCATACCACGAGCTTTCAGAGAAGTACCATTAGCAGTTTGAAAACAAACATCACAAGGAGACAAATCACACTCCTTTCCACCAATAGAACAAAAAACTGCATAATCTATAAGCGTAGCAACGCTACCAGAATCAATAAGAAAACGTACAGTAATGCCATTCACATCAACCATAGCATACCAGCTAGTGGGTAATCTCAAAGAACAAATCAAATTATCAAAATCTGGTCCATGCATAATTCGTCATCTTTCCAGTAGCAACTGAGGACCCCCGTGCTACTGATTTCTGTTTAAAGGCATATCATTATTCTTCGGGAGCAGGGTGAAACTGGGAAATATCCCACTGTCACGAGTTTGGCTATTCCCACCCCAGGCAGATTTGAGCTATTCCCTGGCGAAAAATTTCCTACTGAGCCATTGGCCGTTTGCTGGGCCGAATACGCAGTAGAAAACTGCGAAATTCTGTGGAACATATATCTATCCACTGGAAGAGCTATATGACCTCTGCCATGACATCTCTGGCACAGGTTCTCAGGCAATTCCTACGTATGTGACCCTTGGCACCACAACCATAACAAGTAATACCTTCATTCCTACGCCCACCCTTCTGACGGGAAAATCGGGGTTGATGACCTTTGTCAAACATGCACGAAACAGTCAAGCATCTCTAATATCATTCCGCAGCTTACTAAATCAGATTCACACACACCATCATCACAGTCAGAATTATTCACAACAGCTACCATGGGCTTACTAGCACGATTACAACCAGGTGCACTGTGCGTAGCATCAATAGAATGACAAACATCAGCCACAGTAATTAATTCATCCAAACTCTGAGTCTGCCTGATGTCAAAGTCTTACACATCTCGAAATCAGGAAAACCTGAAATGAAACGCTGCTTAATCAGATTCTCACGAGCAATAACATCCAAAGAAGGATAAGCCTTCCGACAATGCACGAAGAGAAGTAGCATATTCCGTTGGCGTCTCAGTGGCCAACTTCTTCCTGTTATTAAACAAGTAGCAAAGTATGACTCCTTACCCTCTGGATAATAACGCTTTTTCAAGTGATTCACTGCAACACTCAAACTGTGCTATATGGAAGGATAATTCATTCAACAAGGACAAAGCCTTCCCACGCATACATGCAGCAAAATGACACCAGCAATTTTATCAGTCCATCCATTACAGGTAGTAATGGATGAAAAATACACAAATAATCATCCAAAGACATACCATCACCATTAAAAGTATCAGGCTGTATATCAATCTCATACTATTATTCATACCAAAAGGAACTGCCTTGCAATCAGTAACATTACTATTCACACTTGCATGCATAGGTGTCGACTGGTCAACCACACACTCATCAGCAAAATTCAATTTTTTAATAGTACCGGTACCATATCAAACATTCCTTATCAGAGCAGTCTGGTTCACCATTCTTATCAACACTCTTAGGCACCTCAAGGGTTTGTTTTTAAAATAGGTTTATGAATAAATGATGGCACCTCACCCTCAGCCATGGCCTCATCAATGCTCTCCAGACGGCATATCACTCGTTCGAGTGCTTCCTTCATGCCAAAATATCTTTCTTCAAGTTGTATAACACTGATCTTGACTACTTTCAGTTGAGA